TACCCCAGCTTCCTGATAGCATCCAATCCACAGGAAAACTCTATTTCTATTTTCTCCCTGAAACTACAGAACACAAGCTCAAATCCTGTAAGTTCATGTCTAATACTCTCTTATTGAGAGGCCCAGTGGCTCCCTATGGTATGCAGTATGCATTCTCTCTTGCTAAAAGGGGCAATAAACCCAACCAGAGGTGTGTTCCTGATGGTCTTCATCTGGAGGGCATTGACATTGGAAAATTCAGAACAATTTCAACCAGAGATGACCAATTTGTCAGGACACTAAAAACAGATCTATTTCTTCATTGTGAATCTATTTTAACCAGAAACATAAAAACTGATGGCTAAATAAAATTACCAATATCAATTTACATAAAAGAAACAAAATCTCTGAAGAGTGAGAAAAGACAAAGTATATATAGAAAAAGTAAATTAGTGGTTTCTGGAGCTGAGTGTGAAAAGGGAGACTAGCTGTCAAAGGTTTAGGGATCTTTTGGAGCAGTGGAAATGTTCTAAAACTGGATTAGAATAATTGATGCACAACTCTGTAGCTTTACTAAAAATCCATTTAGCCGAACAGTTAAAATGAGTGACTTGCATGGTGTTTAAGGTATTTCTTAATAAAGTTGTTTAAGACAATAATAATGGAAGAAACCTGCTGGAGTACAACAGGGAAAAATTCTCCCTATGTAGGTAAACTATATGGCAAGCTAAACTTTAAACAGGAAGTTGGTTAGTGGTCATAAATTCAGAGTCAGTAGGATTAGTTTCATGATTACAATATGTTCATCTACCTCATAGAGCTCTACTGTTGTCTTCCCAAGTGACTGTTGGGTTTGTCTCTGTAACTTTTATTTTTCCAGGTTCTCCTGCACACATATACTCTTCCAGTTGCAACTCCTATGTTAATCTATAAATAAAGTCTTAGAATGGTTTGGATACGAAGCATTCCCCAAAAGTCTTTTATATTGAATACTTGGTTCCTAGCTGATAGATCCAATCATTGAAAGGTAACTGAATCCTTAAGGCTCTTATTGGATCTATGGGTTAATTATTGATGAAGTCATAATTTTATGGCATTATTTGGAGGTGGAGCCTAGTTGGAGGAAGTAGGTCACAGAGGCATATTCTTTGGAGCTATATATTACCCCAACCAAGCACTCATTCACTCTCTCTCTCTCATCCTCCGTTTCCTGATCACCATGAGGTAAGCAGCTCTGTACCACAGAAATGATGAGCTGACCATGGACTAAAACCTCTGAAACCATGAGCCAAAATAAATCTTTCCTCCTTTAAGTTGTTTCTGTTAAGTATTTTTGTCACAGAAATGCAAAATTGACTTACACAGGGCCATTCTTTATCTTGAAACGTAATATGCTTCAAACTTTGGCTCTGATGTCTGAGTTCCATTTATGGCTTATTGTTCAAGGCCAGTTGTAGTTCCAAGTTGTGGTATAGAGAAGGGAAAACTTGCCCTCTATCCTCTTGTGTTCTGTGTCTGTGGCTCGTAAATGAAACTGAAAAAGGTAATTTAACAAAAGTAAAAACATGGTAAGTTTTATTTATATTTTATAATTATATTTTAATTTCAACTTGACACAAAAGTAGGGTGGCCAGACTATATACATGTATGTCGCATGGAATATTTGGAACGTAGTTATACTAAATATTATCATCTGAAATTAAACTTTATCTGGGCAACCTGTATTTTTATTTGGTAAATACGACAATCCTATACAAAAGTTGTGAGAAACTCAGAAAAACAGGATGTATATCTTGGCAGAAAGGAATGGAAGAAACAAATGCCAGGAATTTTCTAAATTGAGATAAACACATAATAAAAAATTTATTATTTTAACCATTCTTAACTGCACATTTCAGCGGCAATCACATTGCTGTACCACCATCACCACTATCCATCTCCAGTACTTTTCAACCATCCATCCCATACTGAATCTGTGTACCCCTAAAAGATAACACCCCGTTTCCACCCCACCCTCTCTGTAGTCAGTTCTACTTTCTTAGTGTAATAATGCCGTATTTTCAGTTTGAAATCCAAATTGGCAAGTGCAATATGCAGCAAAGAGAGGAAGAAAATCATATCCCTCCTGTGGCAATATCAGTACTTTGAAGAAAGGGGCGTCACAGCACAGGAAATCTTCCTTTCTTCCTGGTTTGGAACCGAAAATCCCGCTTCTCACGCCTTTCTGCATTACGGTGCCCTGGCACTTCCGCCTACGCTCCATTCCGCGGAAAAGTGAAGCGCACCGCCATCTCTGTCTCCGCCACGCCCCGGCACCAGGTAACCAAGGGAACCCCGGCCGAGGCCGGATCCGGAAGTAAGGATCCGCTCCGCCCCTCAGTCAAGCCCCACCCACAGCCCTGCCCTCCAGGAGCTGGATGACGTGTTTCAGTAGGAGTTGGCAAGGTGAGGCCGGCGCATGCGCGATACGCGCTCCGGGGAAGCCATAGCCGTCTCGAATCTGGAGGTCATTTTTGATTAGGAAGGCTTCTTTTGTCCGGTTTTTTTCTGATATTGAGCCCAGGGTGTTGAAGAAGCGGCGGAGACTGAAGGAAAGAGGGGTGGGGTCCTCTGGTTCCCCCAGGGGTAGCATAGTCACTGCGGAAATCACTCGCGGTGCTTAGGTTCGTCTTGGTCTGTGTGAGAGGGAAACCTTGGATTTATTTCAGCGCAGAAAGTCTGCGTTTCTAAACTCAGATCTGAACCCGTGTGATCTGGGCAGAATGGGTCGTGTAGGGCTTTATCGTTCCTCCAGGCCTTTGGGATGTAGAAGTGTAAGACGCCGACGGGCCCTTGTTCCCACGGGGAAGGAGACAGTGAAGAAGCGTCGGTCCGAATAGTGGTAAATCTTGTGGAGTGCCCGAGTGGAAGCAGGAGGGATGTCAGACTATGGAAGCTCGCTCTTGGCAGGAGTGCAAGCCGAGTCCAGGGGAGCTCAGTGGTAGCCGTGAACCTGGAGACGACTTTGAGGGTTTAGTGTACAGTTCAGAGGCCCAGCGAACAGGACTTGCTGAAGGACTGGGTGTAAGGAGAGATCACCAAGAGAATTTTGGGACATCTATCAGGTCTGGAGCCTGAGATTAGGTGGCCGGGAGTGCCATTTTCTGAGGGGAGAAAAGCTTGGGGTGGAGGCAGTGAGATAGTGAAGGTCAAGTTTTAGTGGAACCGGAAAAATAGAAGATAGTGAAGAAATTTAATTCCTCCCGCCTCTTTTTTTTCCCTTATGTTTGAAGAGCTGCATATTACTTTTGGTCCAAGTACAGAATATTACAAATTATTTTCCCTAGCCCAGAGTTCAGTGTGTTAATGTATTCGAGGCTGGGGAGGGGAGAAACACCTAGCACTTTTTTGCTCAGGCCCTTACTAAATTGGCTTTTGTTATAAAATGGCCACCATTCTTCTGAGCCATTGTTCCATACATTTTTTATTTAATCTTTGAAACATTGTAGGAAGATGGGTGTGCTGTTCTCTGTTTTCTCCCTACTTCTCAGTTCTTCCTTAACACGGCCAAGTTCTCATAGCTAGGTAGTGGTGTTCCAAAGTTGGAGCTCTTGGTTTCAATGCAAGCTGTCTTTGCAAGCAAGAATTTTATCTCTCCTTGTTCTCATTAGCCCACAGTATAGATCATTAGTTCTTAATCTTTCTTGCAGGATGCTAGATTCCTCTGAAACTTTGGTGAAAGTTATAAACCTTCCCTGGGGAAAATTTGCAAAAACCAGTAAGAATTTAGATAGGAGTTCATGGGGCTCCATAGCTTTCTGAACTTAACTATTTTCCAAACTTGCTGGTTCTTGTACTGTGGATTGAACTCAGGGCCCTACCTGGTAGGGAAATACTTTACCACTTGAGCACACACAGTTCTTTTGCTTTTCGTTTGTTTTTGAGGTAGGGTCTAGCGCTAATTCAGCCCCCATCCTCCTACCTCTGCCTTCCAATAGCTGTGACCACAGGCTTGTTTTTGAGATAGGGTCTCACTAACTTTTGCCTAGGCTGGCCTGGAACGCCATCCTCCTGTCCTAGCTTCCTGGGTTGATTTTACTGACTTCTGAGCTAGAGCTTAGAGTCGCCTTCCAATAGCTGTGACCACAGGCTTGTTTTTGAGATAGGGTCTCACTAACTTTTGCCTAGGCTGGCCTGGAACGCCATCCTCCTGTCCTAGCTTCCTGGGTTGATTTTACTGGACTTCTGAGCTAGAGCTAGAGTCCGTTTTGTACTGTAAGATGATGAACTTTTCCAGAGTGTTCGATTGACCTCTGAAGCTCAACTGACCTTTTATGTCTCCAAGAATGAGTTTCTCCTCGAAAAGTACTCAGGAAATGCAACACATAGATAAGTGTGCACAAATATGCATGTGCACTTTACACACATGGACACCATATTCCATCATTCATGGGGAAAAGGTAATCATACCCTAATAGTCTATCTCACCAGAACTACTTTCCTCATTGAACTCAGTTGTGTCCGTGTTTCCGTTTGCAAAGTAATGTGAACACTATCTTTCATTCACCTATTCCTATTTTTCTCTCCATCTCCGTTTATTCTGTGCACAAAATTACTGTCACTCAAAGTGCAACGTCGTACCCGATGCTTGGAAACTGTTCCTGCATATCCCTCTAAGCAGCTGTCTTTTTGACGATTCATAGATAGTTCTTCCCCATTTGTTTCCTTATCCTCAGGTGCCCCCCGCCCCGAACGTTCCCTCCTAGCCACCAACTCCGCCTCCATCAGCAAGTACTTTCTAGAGCACCAGTTCTACAACAGGGGCAGGCCCGCCGAGGGCAGTATGGGCAGCAAACCGTAAGAGGTTTAAGGGAAACAGTAAGACACTGCAGCGGCAAGCCCGACTCCCCGCCGAACTGGAATTTGGAATGCGAGCGTGAGCGCCGGCACGGCCCCGGCGGAAGTCACTCAGCAGGCGCGCGTAGAACCCGGAAGACGGATGTCCTCCCCACTCCCTCCCGGAAGCTGCGCGCTGCGCTTGCGGCGCTCTTACTGAGCATGTGCAGGCGGCGCTGCGCATGCTCCGAGGAGGGCCGGCTGGCTTTCTGTTGGGCGGCCCCGGTGTCTCCTAGCGCAACCGGAACTAGCCGTTGTGGGGCTGGCCTTCCCCATCTCTGGCGGCCTTGTTGTAGTCTCCGAGCCTCCTTGTCCCTGCTCCTATCTTCACTTTCTAGGCTCGGTAGTTCTTTCCCCGGAGCAGCAGTCATGAGCCCCAAGCTGCCAGCGTCGTCTCCACCTCGGGGGCCGCGGCTGTTGCGACTGTCGCTGCTCCTCCTGCTGGGGATGGTCCCAGGCCCGCGCCCGGGTAGCGCTTTCTACTTGCCCGGCCTGGCGCCCGTCAACTTCTGCGACAAAGACAAAGAGAGCGACGAGTGCAAGGTGGGTGAGGCCTGGCGGGCCCCGGGTGCACTGTCTGAAGGGGAAGTCACCTCTGTCCGGAGAGCTAGGGTCCCCGGGTTGGAGCGAGGGGAAGGGGTGGAAGGCAGCGCCTGGGGCGGGGCTGGCTGGCTGGCGGCTCAGGAACGACCCGGCAGTGGTAGAGTTTGGAAGATTCAGCCTTGGGTCCCCACGCTAGACCCCGTGAGGCGTGCAGGCTGCAGGTAGCACCCACAGGTGTATTCCGTTTTCCCGGGTCTGGGCTGTGTGTGGACGCTGTTGGAGTTGGGTGCGGGCAGGTCCGCAATCCTGCGTGTGCCCACAGCCCTGTAAACTCAGCCAAGGAAGCGGGCACCGACTGCCGGCCTGGGGCGACTCCCACAGTTAAAACTTCCAGTAACTTTTAACTTCATTGCTTCCTGTTTCATTGCACTTTTCTGTGTATCCTGGTTGGTTATGAGAGCCTGTTCTTTCTAGGACTTTGATTTCCAGCTTTATGATCAGCAGTTGAGTACTCAGTCGTGAAATACAGCATCCAGAGCCGCATAAACTGCATTAATAAAGAATTGCAGTAGTGGTTGAGACACTTAGTTTCTGGCCTTTAAGTGTAAATTTTAAAAAATACACAAGATGCCACTGCTGCGTTTCTCCCAGATTGTTTTAAACACGTAAAAGAAGCATATGAGAGGAGAAATAGTTGTCTTTCCTAGAGTAGGTTTGGAGGACGTTGACCTCCAAGAACATTTACACTCAAGATTTTCAGTTGAGATACAGAAGGAGGCGTAAGGATCCTGCTTTTAGGTTATTCGGTGTAGGGCATGACAGTATGCACACAAATGGTTTCACTAAGTTTTAAAAACAGCCATATAGAGAATGAGGATCTCCTTGAAACCAATAATTTTAACAATACAAGTAATCGTTCAGCAAACTTTTACAATCTATAAATAAGTTTATTTACTAAGTTTGATTTTTTTTAAAAGTGGGTGTTTATTTTATTACTGCTAGTTTTACTGTAGCCGTGAACTCTGAGGTTATTTAGAGCATTAGAAAAGCTATTAAACTTTCATTGCATTTTACAGTTTCTGTTTAAGTTTGTCATCTGTCCTGAGTGGCATATTGATACATCTGTTTAAGGAAAAAAAACAAAACCAAAACAAAACCCTACACAACTTGTATCCGTAAAAATGCCTAAGGATTTAGGACTTCAGCACTTAACCCTGCAGTTCAAGAAGCTATAGCTCGTTTTCCAGGGTTCTGACTGAAAGAATATAGAGGAAAGCCAGTCTTGCACACACACTGGGTTCCCCTTCCCCCCATTAAATATTTTAGTATCCAGTCTTTAAAAACTGGTAATCGGCCTTTAAATTAACAGCAACTGTAGTTTCTCAAAGATGAAAAACTATATTCCCTACCCTCTAGGAACCTCAAAAGTAATGAAATCTGATATATTATGAGAGATGTATGTCCAAAGTGCTCTAAAACACAAAGGAGAAAACGTGTGGATTGGAGTCTTCAGGGAAAGCTGCAGAGAGGAAGTGTCATTTGAGATGGAATTCAGGAAAGGAATGAGTGAAATTTACAGGTGATCTTCCTGTTCCATGACCTTTCTCAGAAGGTCTTTCAAGTGGCTGTTTGTTATCTTTTAGTTAATTTGGAGGGGTCCTTGGGGATTTTTATTTTGATAGGTATAGGGATGAAACAGGCAAGGTAGATCATTTTTCTGGAATACTTGGATTTTGATCTTTGTTGTCAGCCATTTGCATCTTGATCAATGGAAACAACTAGAAGAGAAGGAGGATGTACTTTGTAACCCCTTGTCCTACAATTTGGCCAACTGATGCAGAGAATTTGTAGTAAATGTTCTTATTTCTTCCCTTTGCTCAGTGGAGATGCTAGAACAGATGCTATCAGTTGAGCCATGCCCCCCCAGCCCTTTTTGCTTTGAGATATTTTTCAAAAAGAGTCTGGCATTCCATAGGGATACTCCTATTTACCCCTCCTGCATGGCTAGGGTGACAGATGCATCATCATGTTCAACTTTTTATTGGTTGAGATGGGGTCTCATGAATTTTGTGCATAGGTTGGCCTCAAGAACTGTGATCCAGTGTCCACCTCCTGAGCAGCTAGGATTACAGACATGAGGCACCGTGCCTAGCAGCCTTGAGATTATTTTATGTTTAATTTACTAGCAGAGAAACAGGAGTCCAGTGAACATAAAACTCTTACGTTTATGTTGCCCTAACTTTTGATTTATGATCTTAACTTTCATAAATACTATAACTGAGTTTTCTGTGGCTTACTTTTTTTTTTTTTTTTTTTTTTTTTCCGCCATACTGGTGCTTGAACTCAGGCCTTCACCCTGAGCCACTCCACCAGTTCTATTTCTGTGAAGGGTTTTTTGAGACAGGGTCTCTTGAACTATTTGCCTGGGCTGGCTTTGAACCACGATCCTCCTGATCTCTTGCCTTACTTCTTTTTTTATCACATGTGCATACATTTTAATCAATAGAGTGTACATTCTTAATGCTTTTTTGTAGTCTATAGTATTCCATTCTTATTACTATACTGTTTACTTAGCTGTTCCTTGCAAGCTACTTAGATTGATCCCACATTTTCTGTTATAAATAGCTTTGCTAGAATGTATTTAGCAGGAATTATTTGCATATTCTCAAATATAAAATTAGTAGGTCACAGGCAAGAAACAGTTTTATAGTTCTATTTAATATTGCCAGATTTCTTTCAAGAAAATTAGGTTTGATTTACAATGCCTCTAGCTAAATGATACCTTGGGTTTGCACATATTTTAATTTTTATCAATTTAATGGTTATATAATGATACTTAAAACATTTTTAATGCATTGCTTTCAGTGCTATCGAGGCTTCTGTGTCTTTTTACTTTTTCTTTTGTTTGCCTTATTTTGTTAGTTTTTGAAATAGTAAAAATGGATTCCTTTCCTGTAGCATTTGCTTCTGTTTTTACAGTCAGAGGACAAAATATGGCTGTCATAAGTAGAATAAAGCCCTGGTTAGAAATGAATAGGTTTTCATAGGTAAAGTGTCCAGTTCTCATTTTGTCTGTAACAGTTTTGACTGGGTTGGCTGCTGTACACTGGTTAGTTTTAGGCCAAGTCTCAAGCATGCTGAGAGGCATTCTGACAGCTAATAGTTGAAGATTAGTGTGCAGTTCACCTTTGCTGCTTTTAATTAACTTTCAAGTAATCATTGGCTCCCCACACGAATTCAGATCTAAGAACTAAAAACAGCTTTAGTTATCTAAAACATCTGCCTCTTTTTTACTTTCTGATATATAGATCATGTTCTTAGGTGAAAGATTAAGATTGTTTTTCCTATGCTACAACAACAAAAAAGTTGAAACAAATTAGTTTAACAGCTTTTTGACAAAAAGGAAATTTACTCAGAATCATATTTTTAACTGTCCTTTCTTGGTAGTTATTTTAAAGCTTTTTATAAATTGCATCTATTTTGGAGACAGTTACCTTTAAATATGCAATAAGACAAATTTAAGAAAATAGTCCTGACTGTTGCTCTGAACAGATGTAGAATGAATATATCTAAACCTGCTTTAATTTGGCTGTGGAAGTAGTTTGAAGATTTAGAAAAATACATGACTTATATGTGTTCTTATTGGAATAAGTGACTAGTATTTATTGATAAATAAATTTCATGCTCTCATAGTTTTCTCTAGAAAGAAAAGCATTGATTTTTAGCTTCTGGAAGTTTACTACAGTGTGGGTGTTACTGATAACTGTCTCAAATCTGAAAACTGGCTATGGGAATCCCTTTTACCATAGTAAATACACATTCCAACACTTGTTCTTCCTTCCGAAAGTGAACAGATGAAACAAAATTACAGACATGTGCTCCACACCCCACACCCCAACATAAACACACAGGCAAAGTTTTGCAGGGACTGGTCTGTTCTTTGTCACTCTCAGCGCCCAGTTCCCCCAAATCCCTATTTTCCCTATTCTTCCTTGCAGTTTTCTCTCTGTCACCGTGGTCTCCATTAATTTTCTAGTTGATTATAGCTACTTTACATGAGCTCAACAAGGTCATTCTCTGTTGCCATGAAAATTAACTTAAGTATCTATGAAAGGCTTTGGAAGAAATTTGTGAATTTTTTTTCTCTGCTTTTCTTCCCATCTTTCAAATCTCTTTATTGCCCTTCAATAATAATAGTGATAGTCTACAATTTGTGTTTTCTGTGTACCAGGTACCTTAATTAATCTTCATAACAACTGTGAAGTACAGATGGGGAAAGGGAAGCTCCGTAAGATTTAGTAACTGCCTCTAGCACACACAACTTGTAAGCATGAAGCCAGGGTGCAAACAAGCCCAGGACTGTCTGATTCTAAAGCCTGGGCTCTTTACCACTTTGGGATGCAGCTGTTTCTCCCCCTGTACGTTCTTCTGCTTCTTTGCCTTCCATCTTGGGAACCCTGACCGCTTATAATCCTGGACTTCAAGAATTATTGTGGTGATCAACAAAAAACTGTTCATATAATTGATATTTTTAGTAGTTGGATTTTGTATTCCATTCTTTGATATAGTCTAAAATTCAAATTTTATTTTTTAGGGCTGTGGAGTAAGAATCTTAATTATATAGGAGATCAACTTCTGGTCATTGCTGATAACTCACAGCTCATGAACAATAAAACACTCGCATGTTTTATTAGAATACGTGAGTTCTAGCTCCTAATGGGATTTTTTTTTTTTAACTCATGTCTGAGTTAAGACTTCTCTTCTTCAGTTTGGGCCTGGTATACATGCCTGTAATCCCAGCACTTGGGAAGTAGAGGTAGAAGGATGGAGGAGAGTACAAGGCCAGCTTAGGCTACATAGGTAGACCTTGTCTGGGGTGGAAAAAGAAAAGACCTTTCTTCAGAATTTCCCATTGTGGACTTCTTTATTACTAAGCAATTGAAACTTCCATAGCTTTCCTTTTTTATGGCTGTACCTTCTTATCTCAGACCCTTGTGACTGGCTAGTCATTTGCTTTGATCCGTATGTGAAGTCACATTTCTTCACTGAGATTCCTTTCCCTCTTGAAAATCCAATGTATGTATTGGTTGGGGCAGATGTAATTGTGGCGGGATAAGGCAGAATACAATCAGAAACAGAGAAACGAGGAAATAGGGGAAAACCACAGTCCATGGTGGTGCCCGCATGCCTTTAAGAAATAAAATAGACTGTAGCTGTGACCACAGCTGGGATGAGATGCAGAATGGGATTGTTCAAACTAGAGATAAAAAATACATTTGGGAGAAGGATTGAGAAGGGAGACCATTGAACTCTAAGTTAAATAAAATCATTTCCACAAAAATTTCTTAGTGTAAGGCCACACTCAGTCTTGAGTTTGTCTAAGTAATTTAGGATTTGATAACTTCCTTAAAATGTTTTATGTTGTTTAAACTTTCCAAGCTTCTAATAACCTTGGTGGGGACAGTGTGAAAGTAAGAATGTAAAGAGAGTAATCTGTAAGGTTTTCCTAGTCACGCCAGTGATAACTTAAGAGTTGTCTACTTCTATTTAAGGCAAATTTCTAGAAGAAAATGAACCTGATTAACTTTTGGATGGTGACTATAAAGATGTGTAGAGTGGAAGATGACTTAACTATTACGCTCACAGTAGGTACTATTTAAATGATCAGAAAACTAAATCCCACAGATTCAGTAGCTACCCCAAGAACACATAAATAGCTCTGTTGCTTTTTTCCTTTACTTTCTTGAGCATATGTCTTTTTTTTTTTTTTTTTCTTTTTGGTGGTACTGGGGTTTGAACTCAAGGCCTCACGCTTGCAAGGCAGGTGCTCTATCACTTGAGCCACTCCTTCAGCTTTGAGTGTGTGTCTTTTCTCTCCATCTGGATTATAAATTCTGTGAAAGCAAATGTTCATGATTTTGTATTTATCACCTACAGTGTCAAGTATAAGACAATAAATTCAAATGTTGGATGAATTTCTCAGTCTTTAGCATCTGTAGTTGTAAATGTCTTTCACTTCTCACATCTATTGAAAATTCTAGTATTTTTCCCTTATTTAATAAATTGACTAGTTTGAGGTTGTCCTTCTTGCTTCTAGAATGTCTTTCCATCCTAAATCTTACTCTTGTCTTTGTTTCTTTTCTTTTTTCCAGTGCTGGGGATTGAACCCAGCATGCCCAAGATTGATCCCCAGCACCACCAAAAATAAAATAAAACCAAGAGTGGAAAAAGTGTCAGAAGAAAAGTAGAGGAATGAAAGCAACAGAAATTAAGTGATGGTAGCCACAATTGAGTTTATCCAGCTGCTGTTGTTTGTGCAGTTCAGTTTTTAAAATTATTTCCTTGTCTTAAAGTGGGGTGTATAATCCCTAGCTGATAATGTTATGATGAGAATTATGCTTGGTTATCATCTTCCCCTTCCCTAGACTAGTAGCCAAGATGAGGCTACGGATAGGCTTGTACACTGGCCAAACACTGCTGTAGTTGCTTCCACTTTTGATGGAGGGGAGAGGAAAGGCCTCTCACAGGGACCCTGAGGCCTAAGCCCTGTGGGGGGCTCATATCTGTAATCCTAGCCACTCGGGAAGCAGAGATCAGGAGGGTTTCGTTTCCAAGCCAGTCGGGGTAAATAGTTCATGAGACCCTATCTTGAAAAGACCTTTCACAAAAAAGGGCTGGTGGAGTGGACCAGGTGGTAGAGCACCTGCCTAGCAAGTGTGAGGCCCTGAGTTCAAAGCCCAGTAACTGCCCCCCCCCCACCAAAAGGAAAGAGAACCGGAAGGCTATCTGCATGCTAGTAAGTCTTTATTCACATTCAGAAATAGACAGTTTCTTTAACAGGCAGTAACAGATATGCATATTTATTCATTTAATTTACAACTATCGTGTGCCAAATGTGGACCACCTTGCATTTTGTTTTACTATTTCCTCATTTGGTCCTCACATTTAAAGTTATTCCTTGCTCAAGAGCATGTTTGTTGAGTAGATCTAGAGTTAGAAGTGAACCTAGCAATGTGACACTCTGAACTGACGTCGTGTCCCCTTCTTCTGAGCTGTGTGCCAGAATTAACTGTTTTTAGGTGAAAGATACATGAGAAGTATTGTTTTTTATTTTACATTTTAGAAAATTTTGTGGCTAGCCCTTGATAATTAAAGACATCCTTATAAATCACAAAGCAAGGCTAAAACATACACCTGTTAAGTGACATTGTTAACATCTTTTTTTATGAGTAGAATTTGAGGCTGCTTTGTCAGAGCAGAAAAGTCGACAGACAGATAAATGTAATGGGAATTTGATAATGGATAAAATGTGTGTAAGACAGGTTAAAAACTAATAAAGTACACGTAAGTACTCCAATTTTGACAATGGAGAAGGAAAGGGTATGAAAAACACCTTTGGGTGCCAGGTGCATCAAGGTTCAAAGCCAGCCCGGGCAAAAAAAGTTTGTGAGACCCTATCTTGAAAAACCCTTCACAAAAATAGGGCTGGTGGAGTGGTTCAAGGTGAAGGCCCTGAGTTCAAGCCCCAGTACCACCAAAAAAAAAAAAGTATTTCAGGGCACAAATGACTTGCTGGCTTCTTCCACTAGTGAATTCTGTTGTAACTGTCAGTAGCTCCATCTGAGAGAGCGGGAAGTTACGTGGGTCCTGTGGAACATCATCTATACCAGGGAGAAATTTGGCAAGCTTTGGTAAGAAGCTGTAGTTTAATTACCTTCTGTTTCCTAAGAAGTTGATTGAGCTTTTCTCTCCATCCTGTTGCTGAGCTCATTGAACTGGCCATTGTGAGTTTCTTCACTGTTACTACCTGTAGTGCAGCATTCTCACATGGATCAGCGCTGTCCTTCAAAACTAGACCATGCATTGTTACCTCCTGTCTGCCTAAGTGCAGGGGATTGTAGTTAACAGTAGCATTCATCTAGAAGCTTCTGACCAACTTGCCACCATTTCTTGGTTGCAGTGAGAATGTTGAAAAATGTTTAAAAATAGAAATTTTTTTGTGCTGTAAAATGAAATATTAATTTGGAAGCCAGAATTTTTTAAAAACAACATATATATATGCATATATATGTATGTATATATATATATTTCTGTGATGAATGCTTTTAGTTAAAGTTTTCTTCTTTAGTACTTTAGGAAAGATTAAAAAGCATTTAAAAATATTGGAGACATTTGTATTCTGAAAGTTATTTTGATATATTTTAAATGCATATAAATTCATTCAGCGAATGGATGTATAGGAGATGCCTGTAAATCCATTATAAGAGAATAGTTTAAATAGGTTGAATATTATAAAACTTCACATTTCAAGCATGTCAAATATTTTCATTTCCAAGCTTGACTTAAGTCTTTATCTGCAGTTGTTTATGTTCTAATTCTCTTTCCTGGTTTTCAGGCTGAAATAGAACTATTTGTGAACAGGCTGGACTCAGTGGAATCTGTTCTTCCTTATGAATACACAGCGTAAGTTTTTCAGATTCATTTTAATATAAAATTTTATGTGACTCATCAGAATTTTGTGCATTTAGAACTTTATTTTCACCACAGTCAGGGATAAATTTGTATGCATTTAAAAATGTGTGGGGCCTGACAACACTTTTTGAAGATACGTTCTTCCAAGAATTAAAGATGTGATCATCTATTTTAATGTTTTTTTGCAGTACAACAGATGCACCAACCAAAACAAGGAACTTCCTTTTTTCTCATTGTTCAAAAGCCTACTTTGTTTTCTTAAACCTTTTAATTATTAAAAACCTCATTTTTGTTCTTTTTTTGAGACAGGGTCTCACTATGTAACTCAGACCTGCCTCAAACTCAAGATCCTCCTGCCTCTTGACTCCTGAGTGCTGGGATTACAGCTATGTACTCCATACCTGACTCCCACACATTTTTAAATAGAATTCTTCTGTCTCACATGAGTAGTCCCCAAAAAGAACTACTACTTTGATGTGTATATGGCACACTTTTTTCTTTGAGTATTCTAATGTGTACAACCATCTGTATACATTTTTGTTTTAAACAAAAGTAAGCGCATACTGTTATATCTAATTTGTACCTCCTTTCTCAACAAATGTTTTAGGCATCTTCCATGTAAATATGTAATTCAGTCTTTTTAGTGACTTTATTATTCTGTTGAACAGGTTATATCTGTATATATGTGTGTGTATATTCCATTGTCTATTAATTTTCTGTTTATCAACATTTAGTTTCCAGTTTTTGATACTATGGAAAAATGCTGCATGAAAATTATGCACCACTGTATCCCATATTGGTATGAATAAATTTTAGTTGGCTTCATTTTCCTACTTTAAAGAATTTTAAAAGAAAATATGTGTTTGCTGTAAGTAAAAGCATACACAAAAAGACTACCTTATAAAAATGTATATCTCTAAATATGTATGAGAAGAGAGTATAGAATTCATGAATGGATGGACCACAATTTATAGCACTTGGAGACTTAAATGTGTTTTTTGTTTGTTTAGTTTTTGTTTTGTTAAATAAACAACCATCTCTACCTGAATCTTTGCGAATATTCTTTTCAGAAACCCCAGTGGCTCTGTTACACCAAGACAAGGAGAGACTTCCTCTGGGGACTGCCCAGCCCCAGTTTTTGTCACTTTAGAAATTTGCCTTCCTCTTAGGAATCTTGCTCATCTGTTGCTATTCTGCTGTATATTGCTATACTATAAAATGTGTCCATTTTTTAAATCCTACAGTTCACATTTTAACAAAGTGTTATTTAGCAGAGTATTCTGTGTTGTAATCTGGAGTTTCTGTTTTGTTTTGGAGAGCCATGGTACATAGGACTTGGAGTATAAATACATTTCTTACTCATCTATAAGAACTGTTAGAATGATCAGTAGCTAATCTTTCAATATTGGCCAGGTTCATATTTCATTGTTACCTTTTGTTTAAAAACTTGCATACTCTTCCCTCAGGTTTGATTTTTGCCAGGCATCAGAAGGAAAACGCCCATCTGAAAATCTTGGTCAGGTGTTATTTGGGGAAAGAATTGAACCATCACCATATAAGGTTTGTATTTAGTGTTAAATAAAATTTATTTAGTTACAGCTTTTGAATTTTCTTTCTTTTTTTTTTTGAGAAATGCCTCAAATAAGGGGCAATTTATTTCTTTTATATTTGGGAATAATTTCTTAAAAGCACAGTTTCTCCTTACAGTACAGCATTGTAAGTCTATCCTGATGAACTTTCATAAACTAGCATTGTAAATGATGAGGTGGTGCATAAAGGACAGTGCTCAGGCCCCATTCACCCTACAGGAGGACCAGGCACCCACTTGTCCACAAAACTTCCAGCTGCTCTCACCTACTTCCTCCTCTTTCCAAACAATCTTAGACTTCTCTGCTCCCAAGTATAGCACTGCCTGGCTTCCCCACTGTTTTTTTGGAAGCTAATCTTTCTATCTTGACCATTAAAAGTATATTTGGAACATCTGTTTTCCTTCTACATTGTTGTCCTCTGTTCATTTTATATCTGCTGTCCTACTGAACAAAGAACATCTTTCTCTTTTAGAAACATTAAAAGTTTATAATAATATATCACCATATAAAAAAATTAAATGATACAGAATTCAAATGGAAAGTATCTCTTCTCTCCCAGTTCTACTTCAGTTGTTACTCCTTCCCAAGAAGTTCCACACACCTACAAGTTTAAATAAATAAAAGTCGATTTACTTATTTATATTTTAATGCATTCTGCACTTTGCATTTTTCCTTACCTCACTACTTTGGGCATCTGTCTACATGAGAACTTTCACTGTAATGGCTGTAACTTGACCCCAGGCTTTATTCCCCAGTCTGACAGCTGCCTCTCCTGGCTTCTTGTTCTTCCCTCTTGTGGCTTAGAACTTTGCTTAGACACCTTGTCTACTCCTATCTCCTGTGACACTTTTATATGGCGCATCTATGCAGAAAATATGTGGGCCTAGACTGGTCCCACTAGCCAGCTTACTCTCTAGCACCTGGACCTCTACCGCAAAGCCTGGCAGGAAAGACACATCATTGTGCAAGCTTGATCCACTATAAGTTTATAGTTTTTAGTCACAAATATATCCTCACAAAATATTCTCATCTGAAATTTTTTACTCTAAAAATTCCAGAAGTTTTAAACATTTTGAAAGACAATAGATTTGAAAGCCTAATGGAATGAAGTCACTGGGGAAGAACTCAGTGTCTAGACATGGGTAACACTGAGCAGGGCAAGCATGTCAACTGTGGAACCCCTGTCCATTATGATATTTTCAGAGATCACTTTGAAAGTTACTGCATTCTTTCTATAGCAGAGGGTGATATTCAGGTGTATTAAATTGTACAGTCAAATCAATATTCCATTAGTCTCTCAGCCCTATCTTCCTATTTACTTACATGTTGGTCTTGAGAAATGGTGGGAGAGATGATTGTCAGTAATGCCATTGAGGACATAAAGGACAGCAGGGATTTCTAAGCACACAGGCAGGCCATAACAAAAAGCAGTAAGCAGAGAGGAAGCCAGCAAAATGTTCAAACCCATGGAGAGGTTTTGTCACTTTGGGACAGATGCTAAAGGCATAGTTCTGCTCCTAGTAGGATATCATTCTGGAACATTTCTGTTTATGTGTGAAGACTATGCTTAAGAGTCCCTGGGTTCTGTACTTTTCAGATTTAATCCCTTGTCCTAGGAGTTGAGATAAAAGTACAACAATAGAAGGAGAGCTTTAAAAATGGAGAAAGATACAAACCTAACATTTTCCCAGAGTTCCATCGAAAATTTGAAGGTCAAGATTCATGTTAAATTCTTTAATTTCCAAACTTAAAGGAACAGAGCAGATGCTCTTTAACATCAAGGCATAGGGAAAGCATGGGGCTGAGGAATCAGATTTTTCTGTCCAGACCAGCCATAAATATATTGAGCAACATTTTTCATTTCATCTCTGATTCTTATATATTCATTTATTACTTACACTGTGCTAGGATAGAATGAGCCACCTCAGGGGCTTCTGATGCAAAGACATTCCTATCACCACAATTACTTTAGCAAACCTGGTTCCCTTAGCTTCTGCCACACCAGCCAGAATGGATTCTTCTTTTATTTTCAAAGATTTTTACCTAATTTTAGATCAGCATAAAAAACAATGGTAACAATTAACAACAAAACAGAACTCCAAGTCTGCTTTTTCACCTTTTACCTATTACTTGTTTAGGTCAGGAAAAGAACAGTATTAAACCAGTTGAGTGTATTATATGAAGGGGGACCCACATCTTAGAGGATTATAAAGCCTCATCTCACTTCTTAACCATTCATATTCACTCATTCACTTGCTTAACACATGCATTGGATACCTTTCTCATTCCAGATACTATTGTAGATGTGGGATATAGCAATGAACAAGACAAAAAATGTTTGCGCTTGAGAGTTATCTGATCTCATGGGGAGAAGAAAACAGTATAGACTTCCAAAGTCTGTAGTGAATTAGTTATTGTCAAAAGAACTACTGAAAATAAGTCAGGAAAACTCGTCAGGGAATTTGCAATTTTAAGTAGACTTACTGAGAAGGTAACATTTAAAAATGTAAATTTAAAAAGTCTCACTGAGAAGTGACATTTGAATAAAAGATCTGAAACAAGTAAGGGAGTAAGCCTTATGAATACCCAGGGAAGGTATTCTAGGTGAAGAGAGCAGCAAATGCCAAGGTCCCAGGTATGAGCTTGCCTGGTATGTTCAAAGTACAGAAAAAAATTGATACAACTTGGGCAGGCGAGGGCATAGAGAATATTAGGAGATGAGGGCAAAGAAATGGACCATGTCATAGAATGACTCATAGGCCACTATAAAAACTTTGACCTTGGCCTGGGGATATAGCTCACTGGTAGAGCACTTTCCCAAGACCCTGCTTTTGATTCCCAGCATCAAAGAAAAAAAGCTTGGTGTTTGCGTCTGAGCAAGATTGAAGGTTGTTGTATCAGCGTAGATTTCATCAGGATTACTTACTCTGGCTGCCTTGTTGAGAATGGACCATGGGAGTGCAAGAAGAAAAGTAGAAGACCAGTTAGGAGATTTTACAGCCATCCAGATAGGACCTGATGTTGGTTAGACCTAGGAGATGGAGGGGAAGGGATTGTGAAGTGGTCAGAATCTTAGAATCTGACTATATTTTGAAGACAGAGCAAACAATTTACTGAGGGATGGAGTATTGACTGGAGTTTTTGCTTTTAAGAAGGAAAAGTGTGAGTAGAGTAGGTTGGTATCTATGGGGTGGAGGGGGTAGGGGATGGGGAAGTTACTTAGACATGTTAAGTGTGAGTTGTTTATTAGGCATCCAAGTAAAAATGTTGAGAAAACAGTTAAATATATTAAATATATATATATGTCTGGAATTTGGAAAAGTATATCAGCCTGGAGATGAACACACACACACACACACACACACACACACACACTATATTTTATGTTTATTTTTAAAGAATCATCAGTGTATAGATGGTATTTAAAGCCATGGAATTGGTTGGATCCTGAAGGGTGTGGATATAGGTGAAAAAGGCAAGAATTCCAGGGTCAAACCCTGGGGTACTTGGTATTGTGGGTCAAAAGTGTGAAGAGTATCTAGTGAAGACTGAGAAGGAGCCACTAGTGAAAAGAGGGGAAAACAAGAAGAGTATGGTTTCTGGAAGCCAAGATAAAAGTTCATTTTGGGAAGGAAGAAGTTGGCTGATCTGTCACTGATAGGTGAGGGCTAGAGAATTGACTGTGGGTTTAGCCTTCAGCGTGGAAGTGATTGATGTGAAGGCAGCTGTAACAGGGTAGCCATGTGGAGAGAGGAAGGAAAGAACCATGGCAGATGACCATATATGCAGCTCCTTTGAGAACCTGGATTTTAGAGGCAGTGAGGAAAAGAGTGGTAGTGGGGGGTGTTACAGTGTCAAAGTACTTGTTATTTATCTTTAAAACAGGTTTGTGTGTGCCTGAGGAGAGATTGGCTTAGTGACCTGGTTCATCCATGGTAACTGGAGGGAAGAACATGCTGCTGAGAGGTGGATATGGTGACTGCTTTCTAGTTTCTCAATGAAAGAGATTGAGGGGAAGGGGAGGAGGGGGCTGTGGATTTGCAAGGAGAGGAGGGAGACGATGAAAGGAGTAATAGATGGTACGAGAACCACAGGGTCTGTTGATTGTGGTGTCCAGGACTTAACAAAGTTGAGGATCACTTGAGCCAGTGACCTGGAAAAGTGGGAGGTGTTGTGATGACACTGGAACACTTGACATTCAGATACTTGAAGGTCTGCTCTCAGGAACAGAGGCAGGGAGAGAGTGCTTTGATGTAATACAAGGGGAGCATCACTGGAGAAGAGGTCAGAGAACCAAAAGGATCATTTGTATAAATATTACAGTCACCAAGGAGCCAGGAGCTAAGATCTTCAAGGCCTGAAGACCTGGAGCTGGTGGATGGCACAGTGAGGTGATGTAGTCTGATAACATGAGTGTCAAAGTTGGGGTTAGGAGTCTGGCCCAGTCCTATGGCCTGGGAGAGAAAACAGCTACCAATAGTGATAAGGCAGCATCCCTCTGAGGAAACAGATTTGCCTTGGGGTAGATTTCAGAGGCCATTCCAAGAAGAGGGTGAGGATGGAGAAGGGCTTCTGCTGATGATACCTGAGTGCAGAGGGGCCCAGTTGAAGGGTGTGAGAAGTTTCAGAGGGGTGAGAGATGGCATTACAAAGGGAGTGTTGCGTCCATCTCAGGATTCGAATGTAAAAAGGAATATTGTGGAGATTTGGGACATTAGAATGATTAACATGAAGAGGGATAGGACATTTGGGATTAGTCCTGAGGACCTCAAGGCAGCAGAGGCTGTGTAGGTAAGAGGTCTTGCTAGGAGCCCCCAGCATTATGAGTCTCTCAGAATGTGAAGGATGTTCACATAATTTTTCTTTTTTTGGCAGGGATTGATTTCAGGACCTTATGCAAGCACTCTAACACTTGAGCCATGCCACCAGTCCTCTTTTTTTCAGATAGAGTCTTGCACTAACTCCCAGGGCCTCCTCCAACCATCGCCTCCTGAGTACCTGAGACACCACTAGGCCCGACTCACATAATTTCTCTAACATTTGCAAAAAGCTGGTGGTGGGATATGTAATAATAACTGTCAGTTAGTAAATACTTGTATTTGTCAATTAAGTAGTTTTTTGCACGTATTACTATGTTAATCTAACAACCCTACAAAGCATCACTGAACCCATTTTACAGAGAGTCAATTGAAGCTAAGATAGGATTAATTCCCTTTCCAAGGTCTCAGTAAGACTGAGGTAGATTTGTACCCAGGTCTGACTCTAGGTTCATCAAGTGTTTGATTTAATGACTTTCACAGAATTATTCCACACACTACACTAAATAATTCAAGAAATATTACAATGAACATTTTCCTGAATAAATTACATACTGTGTTTTTATATTTTAGTTGAATATTTAAAAGTAGAATAATAATGAGCTTTCATGTTATCAGGAGGATTTGGTTTCCTTGAGAGCTAATAACATTCTTAAATCTTTAACAAAACATAAGTACAATTAAATCTGTAGCCAAAGATAATTTAAGATACTATAAATTTTGAACTAAATGTAGCATAGGGAGAGGCAGTAGAGTATTGTGATTAACAGCATTATCTCTAGCACTCAACTTGCTTGGGTTAAATCCTGGCTCTGCAATTTGTTAGTTGTGTGACTTTTTGTGCTTTGGTTTTCTAATCTAACATATGGATTAGAATACCTACCTTGTACAGTTGTTGGGAGGAGTACATGAGATTTTGATAAATATAAAGTACATAGGAATACTGAGGAAAGATTGACTATTATTATTAAATGTCATCTTTGATCTTGCTGTATTCCTTCCAATTGAACATACAAGTTGTCTCAACTAAAGCCAGTGAGCATTGGATTGAGGTGTAGTAGTTACTGTTCTGGTGTAACTGATCATGTCTATCTCTGCTAAATTTATTTTAAGTTTGCCATTTATACTTCTAATACTGCATTATCTATATTTTTGTATTTCCTTTTTCCACTTTACAAAAATAAACCTTTAAGGTTTATATAAGGTTCAGAATATCAAATAATGGTGCAAATAATTCATATATTGACAGGGATTGTGATGTGGTAAAAATTAAACTGCTGGCTGGCAGGTGGCAGCAGTGGGTCACACTTAAACATTCACTTGTCAGCTAATGGACAGCACCTGGTTTAGGAATGTTAATAAGTAATATATTAAAAAAGTGAAGTATTAGCTGTGTATGTTGGCACACATCTGTAATCCCAGTACTCTGGAAGCTGAGGCAGGAGGATCGTGAGTTCAAGGCCAACCTGGACTACTTAGTGAGCCCCTGTCTTTGCAAAAAAAGTTGACTACTTAGAAGTGAAATACCTGTAATAAAGTTTTTAACCTGTAATAAAGTTTGAATTTATTAAGAGATTTATAATTGTGGACTATTTGTTGGTAAATTACAGCCTACCAAAAACTAGGAGATACATATCTATAGATAGATAGATAGATTTTTTTTTTTTTTTTTTTGGATACTAAGGATTGAACTTGGGTCCTCATGCATGCTAACGCAGCACATACTCTACCACTGAGCTTAATCTCCAACTCCAGGAAATTTATTTTCAAAATCAAGATTTAAATGGCTCCTGGTAGAGTAAACTATTATAATATACTGTGCATATCTTTATTTTTACACACATAAAATAAGTCATAAAGTCCAAAATTGGGAGGAATCCTTAACTTAAATAAGATCCTGAAAATTGAGTCTTTAAACTTGAATAAAGTTTACCTTGATTTTAGATATCAAAATATAACTTTTTTTTATATCATCACATTCTGTGTCGTTCACTGATGGATGTCCTTTAGTTGACACTTAAGGGGACACTTGATATCTATTGAATATTTGGACATTAAAATTTGTCTGCTTATTACTAGAAAGCCATCGTCTCCAGAGTTCTAAATCGTGACCATGGCTATTACTATGGGGAGACTGATGTCCTGTTTTGCTCCACACATTTTTGTGGGTTTATTCTTTTTGTTCTGGAATTCATTTACATTTGAAAAGTGGGTAGGGTTGAGGGTGGAACTCCGTGGTAGAGCACTTGCCTAGCATGCTTAAGACAGGCTCTCCTGCACCACAAGAGAAAAAAAAGTTGGCTAGATTGAAATTATTAGTAAGAAAAGTTAAAATTTACAAAAAGAAAAATGGTAAGTTTTTAGAGAAAGAGATTGAAATTCAAATCTGATCTGTGAGGGATTTAAAAATGTTTATTATTAATATTAGTGCATGTAAGTAATACTCTATCTGACATCCTTATGAAGAATCTGGATTTTTTTTTTTTAAATGTACTTCTTACTTTCTTTTTATACAGTTTATATTTAATAGGGAGGATACCTGTAAACTTGTTTGTACGAAGACATACCATACAGACAAAGCTGAAGACAAACAAAAGTTAGATTTCTTGAAAAAAAGCATGTTACTGAATTATCAACATCACTGGTAAGATATGGAGATTTTTGATTTTTGGCTTTTTCAAGAAGAAACATCTGTTTCAATGATTATAAATTATAGACTATGTAAAATAGCAAATAAATTGATTTTCTTAGTAGTAACACAAAGTAGTGACTTACTTGTCATCGTAATTTAGAGTACTGTCATTTAACTGTGTTTAGATTACTGAATAGCTGGTACTTTTTTTCGTCCACGGACCTGGTATATAGCGTGTTTCTTTTATTCATGTGTAGTATATAGAAGAATACTTGTCTCTTGGGGAAAGGACCTAGAGAAATGGTACTTTAACACTGTGCGCTATGGAAAAGATCAAAGCAAGACAAAATTTAACTTTTGTTTTATGTTTTATAAGTAATATCTACCTCAAATCAACATTTACATTTTGTAATCATGATACAACATTAACAAGTTTCTCACCAGTTTGTGCTGAAATCAGAAAGTTACTTTTCTTTCCAGAGTAGTTTATACTTACTATTCAATATTCAAACATGGAAAATTACAAGAAGCTCTCAAAATCTTCCCTTTCAAATATAACCATTATTATTATTCCAGATAATTTTGCTGTATGACTGTATAACCTATAAATGCCTGTATTCTATGTGGTGTATGTATATTTTACCTCTTTAGAAAGTGTAAAGTGCTGGAAGTGCTGACCAGAAGGGTTATCTTGTTTTTCCCTTGAGTGTTCCTGTTGGTGTCTCAGGTTAAACCATTTGCCTACCACCAGGGCGGTTAGGAACCTCAGACTTCAATTCAGACCTGTCAGGTCCTACAGTTCAGATACTGGCATTGGAACCCCTTATTCCCTCTTGTCCACTCACTTCTTCTCCCTTTTTCCTTGTATACTGAGAGCATAAAGGAGTCCTGGAAAGGGAGCCTCAGTTCATATGCCTATCCATGAACTAATTGTGGTTAGGCCATTCTGATCAGCAGACCTGGGAAGCTTACACTTGAGCCCCATAGAAATGAGTTCCCTTAGACAATCATGGCTTTGGTAGAAGAAAGGAAAGGGTACTGTCAGAAGCTTGCCCCTTCCACTATCAGTAGCTCCTCCATCTCCATGTCTGTGGTTTCTAGTAGATCAAGAGCTTTTCCCCCCCTAAGCTGCCAGGAGTACACACTTAATTACTGGATCTGTGTGAATTGGATTTATTATATGCATAAGTGAAATCTCCTTTGGTGTTTTTCTGTCCTTCAAATTGTTCTTTATACCCATCAAAATTAATGTTTAAGGCTCAGTTATTTTCTCTTATATTAGCCACCATAACTTCTCATTTACTGTAATGGCGGCTGGTTTGTTGACTGAAAGAAACAGTGACTCTTCAGGCCCATAGGTGATTCTATCCCCACTTGCACCCCTCACACCTACAGACACGTGCGTATGTACACACACACACACACACACGTAATAGAAGCAGCTCTTCCTTAGAAGTCTCCATCCAGGAAAGTACTTAGAAATATTTTAAACTAACTTATGATGCAGTTAACCTAGGTTCTGTCTTGATGCTCAGATAGTTAATAACAAGAATAAATACAATAGAATAAGCAATTTAAAATAGCCTACAAAGTTAGAAAGCATTCAGTAGCAATATTTACTAAACACCTTCTAGTAGCTATATCAGTTACAAACTTAAACTATTCTGCCTAAAAAACAATTGGGAAAAGTTCTGGCAAATAATTGACTTAGTAGTTAAATTGGAAAAGTTTATGATTTCAAATCTGAATCCATTAATAAAAAAAATCTATCAGAAATACATAGTCTGGTAATTCTAGACAATGGGCTTTAACATTTAAGTCAGCTCATTGTACTTTTGGAAAATACTGATTCGTAGTGATGATTTTACTGAAAACATTGGGTGAAAATATGTCTGTCCTTGACTTATTTTGAAAGGTTTTTACTGTGTAAATTGATTTTAAGTACGAATAACACAGTTGGAAGAGCTAAAATGTGTATACTTGGGAATTTGAAAGACTTTCAGAAATACAGTATTCTCTTGTGAATTTTCTTGTGCATTCTTGTGAATGCATTTCATTTTAATCTTTGCACTAAGTTACTTCAGAGAGAGCATAAAGCAATACATGCCTATGAAAACTCACATGCCATACAAGAGAATATTAAATAGCAAGAATCTTCTACTATTCTCAGCTTTTTAAATCCTATTTAGTCTCTATCCATGAAATTAAACCAATTTAATGTTCTAACCATGCATGAATACATTCTTCTCATTATGGGGACGTGTTAATGTTATTTAATTTTCTTAAGTTGAGGAATACTTTTCTTCATTATCTGGGATGTTAAAACACGATTTCAGGATCTTTTGGGATTGCGCAGTCTGTCTAAGCTACTCTGTGATTTTTGAGTCTGGTGTTTTGATCCCGACACCAAGTTGCTGAATTCTCTTCAGCTATGCTCTCCATGGTTTGTGGTTATACTTCTTGCCTAAGTTTCCAAATCTTTATGGTGTGTTCATGCATGCCTATATGGCTCTTGCACATGCTAGGCAAGCACTCTACCGTTGAACTTCACCCCTTGCCCTTTATGGCACTTTTAAAATCAAAGAATAACAGTTGAACTAGTTTCCAGAGTTCTTATGACTCACTAGTCTCATTAGAATCCTTAGACTGTAGTTTATTGGACAGAACAACTTGTAATAAGTATATCAGTTGTAAAGTTAAACTATTCTACCTAAAAAGGAAAAAATACCATACTGGTAAAGTGTTGGTAAACAATGGCTTTGCAGTTGAATTGGAAAAGTTTATGATTTCAAGTCTGAAGATACTTTAGTGCATTCAACTCCAGATCCCACCAAGTTAACAATGGTAAATGATGTGCTAGTTTCAAAAATTCAAAACCCTAATGGATGGAGGTTAGTGGAATGACTCAAGTGGTAGAGTACCTGCCTAGCAAGAGTGAGGCCCTGAGTTCAAACCCCAGTACCATCCCCCACGCCCCCGAAAAAAATCCCAATGGGTAGTATAAATTCATACATGTTAAAATATTAACACAGAGTAACTTAAAGGCCAATTTTCTTTGCTTTTGAGGACAATTTTGGTTATTTCAATTTGATCAGAAATGTTTGTATCTAATTTATTGGCAAAGTGAGTCGAAAAGTGTTTCGAATGAGGTTCCTACATAGTAGAGGAAAATATATCTCATGGTAAAAAGTCGGGACTCATTATTCAACCTCATTCTTGTGAGTCCTCTTCTCATATTCTTTTTCACTCTGTCAGATTAGAAATAAGATTTAAAAATTTTCCAATGTTAGGAAATCAAATAAATATTAATTCCTAACTTAGGGAAAGCAGTAATTAAAACTTAACGTTCTTTAAATTTTCTTACATTTATTTCAAAGGCTTTGTTGTTGTTTAAATGGCCTACTATCTGAAATAGTCTATTATGTCAAGGCATTATATAAATGATACATAAATAAGATGTTTGTTTTTAAAAAGCTTATATTGCCCCCAAATTCCTCATTTTGTAACTAGAACTATAATTTTTATGTAGCACTTTCTCTTCAGTATGACAGCATAAAAGATAGTTACTTATTGCTTGTATATAGTCACAATTAAACTCATGATTTTCTCTACTAAAAAATTAAAGCAATTAACTGATTCTTTGGGCTTCTAGAAAATCTGAATTATTTATTTTATATAGCATTTTTATAGCATTGCTTTATGCTTCTTTTATTGTTTTATGCTTCTAATATTTTATAGTCTTTTCACTGGAATTAGTAGCCTGCTGGTTATAGTAATAAGCAACTTAATAGGATAGGTTATTCTAAAATTTGGTACATTCGGTTCTGTTAAGTAGCATTTAAATGTGATGAGACATGTTTTATTAGGTCATTAATGTGCACCTTGGGTGATTATGGAATCATAATTTTACTTCCTAAGGCATACATTAATTAACAAATAAAACATGCCCTGGAGTGTTATCGTATGACTACTAAAAGTAGTGCATTATGACTAATTTTTTTTATTTGTATCCTGCAGTGTGTTCAGGGCATAGGGGACCACATGCTCAAACTTTAATGTAGTCATGCAATGTCACAGAGCTTTATTCTTTACTTTTATCCTTTAAAAAAAAGTGGTTTTCACTGTAGAACTTAAACATTTGATGTTTTAGCTTTCTAGCATTATTTCCTTTAGAAATTACTTGGATTTGTAATTTTAACAGATAATATTATAATTTTCACTTTTTTACCTGACCCTTTAAACTTCCCTTATCTTGCAATTACATTCTTCTCCTTTTTACTGAACTACCTGAGTAATAAATGTCATTTACTTTTATATTACCTAATAAATGGTTCCCAAAGAACTGGTTATATTGCTTTGTACCCATTTAAAGCTTGGCATGTTCTACTAAAGATAAATTGTACTTAGATGTCTAGAAAATACCATCTCTCTTTTTTTTTTTGACTGTACTGGGGTTTGAACTCAGGACCTCACACTTGCAAGGCAGGCACTCTACCACTTAAGCCACTCCACCAGCCCTAGAAAATACCATACGTTAGCAATTATAACAAGTAATTTATAAAACTCCTCCTACATACATTTATAGTTTTCAAAACAGCAATAAAATTTTTTCCTCACTACAGTGTATCAGATATTGCCATAATGTCATTACTTAGAAATACCATGTTTCATCAAAGTTGGTGTGGTTTTAGGATCTTACAGTATTTAGATGTTTATGTCTTAGAAAGCGGTGACACTGATTTAGGCAGTAACCTTTAGCCATGTTTTCTAGACTCTGTCCTAACTTGATTTTGACTTCTGTGCATAGGATTGTGGATAATATGCCTGTAACGTGGTGTTATGATGTTGAAGATGGTCAGAGGTTCTGTAATCCTGGATTTCCTATTGGCTGCTACATTACAGATAAGGGCCATGCAAAAGATGCCTGTGTTATTAATGTAAGTTTGTAGTGAGTTCTATGCTTCTTTTTAAGACATGGCATTTTGGAAGGAGAATTCAGTCTTTTAAAGGACAAAAATTGCCATATTCACTGAATGAGTGTGATTCAGATGTTCTGGAGTACAGCTGCTTAGATCATAAACTTTAGCCAATATGAAGATATAACTCTAGGATTAAAATAATTCATATTAAGTTCAGCATTTAATGAAAGTACCTCTTATATGCTAACGTGCTATGCTAAGACTTAGGACTTTGTTCTAGCTCTATCAACAGTTAAATTCATACTTTTTTTTTTTGGGTGGTGGTGCTGGTGTTGAAATCAGGGCCTTGTGCTTGCTAGGCAGGTATTCTACACTTGAGCCACTGTACCAGCCCTGGTTAATGCTTTTGTGAGAGTTGACCAGAGGATGTACTTGAATAGTTTAGGTTATTGGCTTAGTCCAGAGTTACAAACTTTTAGGGGAGGAAAGTCCTTAAGTGTAAGATTGAGTATGTCTGTGATTTTGAGTAAGTTTGTTTTGTTAACTTTATTGTAAGCTAGAAAATACTAGATTTGTATTTGTTTGAATAGGTATTTATTAGATTTTATGTGAAAATTAAAACTTTAAAAAGCATATTTAATACCTTCCCTAATTAATTTTTGGTTTATAATTTTTAGATTAAAATTTAAGCATTTTAGCGGGAAAGGATTAAAATTCTGTCTAAGCTTAAGTTTTCCTACTTGTTTCAGCCCATTTTAAAAACTTCAAAAGTTTTGTGTTTGATTCATGTAGCCAGTTTTCTACCTTTAACTTTAAGTTCTTCCACAGTCAGAATTCCATGAAAGAGATACATTTTACATCTTCAACCACGTTGACATCAAAATACACTATCATGTTGTGGAAACTGGGTCCATGGGAGCAAGATTAGTAGCTGCTAAACTTGAACCAAAAAGGTAAGTATGCAAATCGATAAGAATGTGATAAGGGAAATTAGATCCGAAGAATAAGTACCATGGGCCCAGTTAACTTAATCCTTAAGCATTATTCTGACATTTCAGGAATGATTGTAACTAAATCTCCTTTTAGCATGATTTTTTTTACTAAGTTATGGGTTGTTCAGAAAAACCTTAATTATTTTTCCCTGTCATAGTAAGTGGTCAGGCCAAGGTGCCTTTCTGTTTTGTTTTCAGTCAGGAAGTTTTGATGACTTTTTGGTTTGTCCAGTGGCAGGAGCACTGCCTCAGTGACATGTGGCTGTCCTGGTGAGAGTCTCACAGGAGCTGATGGTGCTGCCTCTGTAGAGCCAGCATGCCAGTATGGAAGAGTTATTGAAGGAATGTCTCTCTAAGTTGTTGAGAATGTTAGCATGAAAGTACGTATTTTGATCCAGTGCTGGCATTTTTTTCCTGCCGTTGAATTAGCCATTTTCTCACATCACTGGTAGTAAAGATGAATTGGCATTTCTCTCTGTGCTTCTTTTTTTTTTCTTCCTTAAGATTATTTAGCCAGGCACAATGGTGTGCATCTGTAGTGCCAGCACTTGGGAGGCCTGAGGCAGGAGGCACATGTGAGCCCAGGAGTTCAAGATCAACCCAGGCAACATAGCACAAGACCCTGTCTAAAAAAAAAAAAAATTTACCTAATGCTCTTCCAAGTATTTTAAGAGTTTGTTTATAGTTCTGAGTAATGATTTTGTATACACAGCTATGCCAATTTTTATATGAAGCAAATATTTGTACTATTGAATTAACATGAATAATTTAATCTTTGGCTATCAACAGCACTGTGAAATACGTACAGAATTTCTAACCTTTATTTTACCCATTTTCTACACTGTATTTTATCAGCATCTTTCCAAAATGTTTCTTCCTATAGCTTCAAGCATACCCATATAGACAAACCAGACTGCTCTGGACCCCCCATGGACATAAGTAATAAAGCTTCTGGGGAGATCAAGATTGCCTATACTTACTCTGTTAGTTTTGTGGTGAGTTTATTTTTATCTTTAGTATAACTCAGAAATTGATTTTAAATTTGTACTTCTTAAACTAATTGCATATACTAATGATTAGCTTGTTGAATAGATAAGCTTTTAATGAGCTGATTTTTTGATTAGTTTGTCAGTACACCAAGTAGCATAATCACTCTTGAAACTAAGTTTTAGTTTAAATGAAAAGGTGTGGGAAATTGGAGAATCAAGACAAAAAGTAGATAATAGGCATAGAAGGTGGCATTAAAATGTCAAAGACATATGGCAAAAGCATTTAGGAAGAAACACCATTTTCAAACTTAGGATTTGAGTATGAACTTAAGTGGAGAATTTCCTTTTGGTAGAAATGGAAGGAAGTGTTTTCGTCAGTGGAGAAGTTCCTTAGGAGGAAAGTAAAAGTTGATAGAAGCTTAAGCAGTATTTTAACGCTATTTTAAAATCTATTTTGAAAATTTAATATAGTTGTGATGTTTAATGTACCCATATCTTGTTTAATTTTGCAAGACAAGTACAATAAACACTATATATTTCTAGGTGTTAAGAACCCAGTGTGAGTGACATCTGCCAGATGCTCAATGTACCTGGGTTATGACTTTGTGGACTAGTGAGTTGTCCCATAGATGCAGTAAAGAATAAGTTATTCCATTTGGTTATTTTCGAAAAAAATTAAATATAGCTGTAAATTTTGACATAGAAAAATGTACTTTCACTAGCTGTAATTTAAAGCAAGACTTAAAACACAAATACATGGATATCGTTGGAACTCTTGTGGGTATTTTGTTTTAATTTACTACTTTATCTCATCCTGACTTCCACTAGACCTGAGTAAATCTGAAATTCCCTGAATCGCACGACTAACCCAGGTTATTCTATTAGAAATTGCAGGTGTCTGACTAAATAGAAGGGCAAACAATTGAAGGGAATTTTGGATTCTTAATGTGCTTTGTTAGCAGATGCTCAAAGATTTTTTTTCTCTCCTCCTCTAGGAAGACAAAAATATCAGATGGGCATCTAGATGGGACTATATTCTGGAGTCTATGCCTCACACCCACATTCAGTGGTTTAGGTAAGAGCACATAGTCTTCTTTCAGCTTTCTGTTTGTCCTTTAGACCATCTCATTTCCTCTGTTATCTTCTTCACTGTGTTCAGAAGTTGCTTATCAGGGCAGGCTATTTCTCAAGTTTTTTTTTTTTTTTTAATCTAGAAATACCTAGTTCATGGCAGTGTTCTGAGGTTAAAGAAGAACATTACCAGTAAGCGTGTCTAGTAAATAGAGCTGCTCTTGTTGAATGGATGTTATTCTCTCCCGAGTGTGACTTAAAACTTTTACCTCCTAACCCTGTTCTTAGCGCCATCACTTTCCTGACTAATCTTTTTGACACTCACTAATTTACTAAGTAAATTTGTTCTTCAATAAATTGAAGTCCTTTGTTGACTCCTTACTGTGTGTGCTGTGGTGATTTAGGCACAGCAGTTACTTAATAATGTTGATAATGAGCAGAAATAGTTCTAGTTCGAAAACAGACTATAAAACTGCAGTGGTTAGGGATGTAGCTCAGTGGTGAAGCACTTGCCTAGCGTGTGTGAGGCCCTTGGGGTCAGTCTCCAATACCACACACAACACACACACATACACACACAAAAGCTGAGTGCAGTGGTGAATGCCTATAGTCCCAGCTACTTGGGAGGCTAAGACAGGAGAATCGCAAGTTTGAGGCCAGCCTGGACAATTTAGCAAGACCCTGTCTAAAAAAAAAAAAAAAAAAAGTATTGTAAGTACATAAAGCTATATATTCACTAAAAGGAAGCATGGAAGAAGACTGTTCACTGACTGTGTTGGAGTTTAGGTACTTTTAATTTGATTTTGATTAGTGATGTTTTAATATTACTCAATAAACAGTTTTTTGACACTGATTAAAGTGTTCTATTTTTAAGCTACAGATTAATCATGGTATGCTTACTTCTACAGCATAATGAATTCTCTGGTCATTGTTCTCTTCTTATCTGGAATGGTAGCTATGATTATGCTACGGACCCTGCATAAAGATATTGCCAGATACAATCAGATGGATTCTACGGTGAGTGAAAACATTGTACTGGTCTTTGATCCACCAAAGACAGTTGTTATTGGTGCTTTAGAAAATGCTAAAAGAATAATTTAGAATCTGCTTTTAAACCATCCTTCTCAAAAGTTATCTTTAATTTCCAAATAAGAACATGATACTTAAGAGCTGATATTCTCCAGCACTTCAGTCATCACAGCACTCAGAGCCAGTGTCAGTAGGTTGGTACAGGATAGGTTATAGGTGCACAGCTTCCACACTGTCACCTTCCCTCACTTAGGTGCATCAACCGTCAGCTTCCCCATCCCCACTGTATATCCAGTTTATGAAATAGCAAAGTTATAAATGGAATAATTCCCAAGCAATTTTTATTTGTGTGTACATTTAAATTTTAGATACTAATTTTCAATGAATTTTTGTCATTTCACCTTTTCTGGTACATTGAAAGTAATTTCATTGCCCCAGGTCATTTATTTTCAAACTTTTTCTCTTTGGTGGTACTAGGGCTTGATCACAGGGCCTCATGCTTACTAAGCTTGCACTCTACCACTTGAACTACTCTGCCAATGGCATAATGTTAACACATTTTATACTTTTTTCACTTCATGACAACACAGAAATAAAATTTTTATAAGAATCAGAGTAACCTGTAATGAATGCAAAAGTTCCTCCAACCTTTCTGTCCTTTTCTGGTTGGAAAAAGAACATATTAATATTTATAAGCTTTTAGCATTTCTACTCCATAGTGTCTTTTCTTTAACTTTTGTTGCTTATATATCTTGTTAAATATTTTATTAAAGTAATTTTAAGCTGGGACATGGCTCAAGAAGTAAAGTGCCTGACTAGCAAGTTCTAAGCCCTGACCTCAAACCCCAGTACTACCAAACAAAAATAATAATAATAATAATAATTTTTAAATACTTTGATCATAATCAGCTATTCCACATAATTTCTGTTAATGGGATTTTTTTCCTTAATGTGTTTGCCATATGGAATACAGGTTTGTGGTAACCCTGCCTCCTGCTCCTGCTCTCATTCTTGTCCTCTTTTTTATTCTCTTGCCACAGCAGTTAGGGCAAATGAGCTCAAACATGAGTCAGATCACCTCACTCCCAAGCTTAGCCATTCAGTGACTTCCCACTTCATTCAGAGTAAACGCAGAGCCTATGATGGCTTATAAGGCCCCATGTTACTTCTCAGACTTTTGCTCCAACCCTACTGGCCACCTTGTTCTGCAACGCAGGCACACATTCTTACTTCAAGGACTTCATCCTTGCTGTTCTGTCTACTTGGAATGCTTCTCACTCAGATACATACATGGCTAGCTCCCTTTTCTCTTACCAGCTCTGTAGAAATGCCATCTTCTCATTGAGACCCTTCTGACCATCCCGCTTAAAATTATATCCCCTGCAACACACCTCATTTTTCCCTAGAGTGTTTATTACCATCTAATATACTACCTACTATTTTGCTTACTCTTTTGTCTGCCTTCCCATTGAAAACTTATACTCATGAGAACTGGGATTTTCCTGTTTCTTACACTAGAGTTCCTCTGGTATTTTAAATAGTGCTGAACAGTTAGTGCTAAATAAATATTTGTGGAGTGAATGAATAAATTAGTAGGCCATGATGTACCAAACTGGTGCATTAATGCACTTATGCTTTTGGGCAAAAGAAATATCCAGGGCCTTCCCCTACTGTTCTCTGTACCCCAAAAGAGTGGCCAAAACCAGAACAGGAGACAGAATGCAAGTGACAGGGTTCCCTGGGTGAAGCGTATGTCTCTCTAACCAGTTGAAGGCTAATCCTTGGGTCTGTAGCAAAGAGCTGAATCTCAGTCTTCAGAAATAAGCCTGGTTTCTGGCAGGGGATCTGAATCAGAATAATTCTAGGTCATGAGTGTCTCTGACTCTTGCTGGAATCAAGTAGAAATCCTTTGAAAGAAAGTCTCTACAAGTTAGGTTTTCAGGATTCCTCTAATTTAAGATCAGTAAAATAAGAGCTGTTATTTAGAAATTCACAAAATTTTATGATAAACAACAGATTTAGACCTCTCCCAAAGATTTCACATACTGGAACTATTAGTTAGAGAATATAAAATATATCAGAAGGTAAGGGCCAAGAATTTTCCAGAAGAGATAAGAGACAAAAATCACAGATAATCCAGGCACCAGTGGCTTACTGCTGTAATCCTCACTACTCAGGAGCCAGAGATCAGGAGGATCACGGTTCATAGTCAGTCCAGGAAAATAGTTCCACAAGACCCTATCTCAAAAAATCCTTCACAAAAATAGGGCTGGTGGAGTGGTTCAAGGTAAAGGCCCTGAGTTCAAGCCCTAGTACCATTTAAAAAAAAAAAATCACAGATAAATACACCATATCCTAAGTAGAATAAATAAAAAGTCCACAGCTAGATCAATTGCAACCACAGGACATCAGAAGAGGGAGAAGCTCTGGAATCAGCCAGAGGAAAATAAACCTGAGCATCTACAGAGGAAGACAGTGAGCTAACAGTGGAGGCTCAAGGACAAATGTCTGTACATGTTTTGGAGTGAGAAATGAACCATTCACAGAGTCCTGCACCTGAACTGCTTTAGGATTGAGACCGAAACACCTTTTTCAGAAGAACAAAAGCAGTTGACCACAAAGAGACCTACACTTAAGGAATTTCAGTAGAAGTTCTTCAGCAAAAACAAATAAGTAAATGAAACTAATCTAAAAGAATTTAAAGTATTGATGAACAAAGAAATCACAAGTAAACATTTTCTGTATATAATAATGATAAGTCTAAGTTTGGAAGGTTAATAAAGGTGTATAGACAGGGACAAGACACTGTTTGGCAAATGATACTAGAATAAGTGGCCACCTGGAAAGAATAAGGTAAATTTCACCTTTATTTTTTAAATTAAAAAAGTGACTTAAATGGAAAGACTTCTATAAACTGTTAGAACACATGGAAAGTTAAGTTTAAATCTTGGAGAAGGGTAGAATTTTATGACATCCAGAAACTGTAAAGGAAAAGATTGCTCTGTGATTACTACATTTAAAGAAATACAAGTGGAGTGGTTCAAGTGGTAGAACACCTGCCTAGCAAGCTTGAGGCTATGAGTTCAAACCACAGTACCACAAATAAATAAATAAACACTTAAAATGTACAAGTGGCAATGTATATATGTATGTAGCCCAAAAAAAGAAAGTGTCACATGGGAAAAATCTTTTAAACAATTGTCACAGTTAATTCCCCAATAAATAAGGAAATCCTAAAATTATTAAGAAAGCAATCAACAACCTGGAAAGAAAGTAGGAAAGATACATGAAAAGGTAGTCCATAAAAAAGAAAATATAGGTGGTTCTTAAATATATTAAAAGATGTGACATTGTTCATAATAAGAGAAATGCAAATTAAAAGTACAGTGCAATATTATTAAAAAAAATTGTCCATGGGATGCATTGGCTGAAATCAAAATATGTTCCTATTTTGGGGGATTGCAGACAGGGGCACTTGGATACACAGTGTATGAAAATGTAAAGTGCTGTAACACGTGGAAGGCAGTTTGGCCATATCTATCCTCGTTCATGAAATAGTTTAGCTCAACAATTTCATTTTTTGAAGTTAATGTGAATGCAAAGGATTTTTTTTTCTTTTTTTTCTTTTTTTTTTTTTGGCACTATTGGAGTTTGAACACAGGGCTTCACACATGCAAGGCAGGTGTTCTACAGATTGAACCATGCCTCCAGCTCTTTTTGCTCTGATTATTTTGGAGAGAAGTTCTTGCTTTTTGCCCAGGCTGGCCTGGTCCAGGAGCCTTCTATTTTAAGCTGACAGTCGCATGTCAGCACATCCTTTTCCATTGAGACATTCTTGCTTTTTTGCCTGGGCTGGCCTAGAACTCTGATCCTTCCAATCTCAGCCTCCCCCAAAGCTTGTGATGACAGGTAGGCCCCACTGCAGCCAGCAGTTGGTTTAGAAGGAATCTTACAGACTCCCTGCCCTGACTGGCCTTGAATCATGATCCTCCCAGTCTTAGCCTCCCAAGTAGCTAGGATTACAGGTGTGAGTGATCAGCACCTGGCTTACTGTTATTTTTATTTTAAAACAGTAGATGTTATTATTGCTTATAAATAGCCGAAGATTGTAAGTAACCCAAATTTTCATCAGTAGTGAAATGACCATAAATTATGGCATCAATATAATGAATACTTATAATCATTAAAAAAAGAATAGGACAACTCTGTATATACTTAGAGTAGAAAGAATCTTCAAGATGTTATTAGACTGGGTCTGACAGAGTGGCTCAAGTGGTAGAATACCTGTCTAGCAAACATGAGTTCCTGAGTTCAAACCCCAGTACTACCCCCAAAAAAGATGTTATTAGACTAAAAAAGCAAATTATGAAATATGTATGTATGGTGGCACACACCTGTCATCCCAGCACTCAGTAGGCTGAAGCAGGCAGATCTCAAGTTTAGGGCTACATAGCAAGCAAGTTCTAGGTTAGCTCAGGCTAGAGCCAGATTAATACCTTCATACAATTTTCACATTACAGATTTAGTTGATTTATATGTAGTAGCTTACCTCACAAAAAAAGGAAAAGAGAAATATGTATATAATATGCTACCATTTTATTTAAAAAATAAGAAAACATATTCATATATTTTCTTATTACAAGTATATTATCTCTGCAAGGGTAACAAGAATGTAGTTACATAAGCACATATGTTTGCTAAGAACTGCCAGTGTGGTACCTGCAATAAAGGCAACACTTAAGCCAGATGACTGCTGAACCCATAATCCTCTAGCTGAGTCCAAAAGTCTGAGCTGTGTCCACTGTGTTCAACTGGGCTGTGACCAGGACCTAGTGGCACTTCCTCAGCATCCAGCAATGGTTGCGAATGTCCACATGCATAAGCAAGTATCTGACCTCAGAATGTTCGTTTGTAATGGATTGTAAATGGATAATTCGTTTGTTGAAGTAGAACTTAGTTTTGCAATGTGAAAAAATGTTAAGTTGGATCACAAAGTTAGAGTAAAATTAGATGGGAATCACATTGTCTTTTTGGTGTTGGATGTTTTCTAGATAGGTTCTCACTAACTGTTTGTCTGTACTGGCTTTGAATCAAGATCCTCCTAATCTCTGTCTCCCGAGTAGATGGGATTACAGATGCAAGCCACCAGCGCCCAACTCACATGTCTTTGTAAAGCAACCTTTGCGCCGCCTTCTCCCTTCCCCCACCTTGGTAGTGCTGGGGATAGAACCCAGGACTTGATGCGTGTTAGGTAGACTTTCTACCAATGAGCTAAATCCCCAGACCATAAAGTTTCTCAATAAATATATGTATAGATGTTAATACACAACATTCTTTTATAAACAATTCAAGAACTTCAGGCTGTGCTCTTCAAAACTGAAATAGATATGAACATTTATAAATTTTATAAACATTCTGTCTTTATTAGTGAACAAACTGTCCAGTTGTTTTGATGATACCATATGACACATTGAACTGATGTCATTCTCTTTGTAGGAAGATGCCCAGGAAGAATTTGGCTGGAAACTAGTTCATGGTGATATATTCCGTCCTCCAAGAAAAGGGATGCTGCTGTCAGTCTTTCTAGGATCTGGGACACAGATTTTAATTATGACTTTTGTAACTTTGTGTAAGTGCTGAGTGAAAATTTAAAAGTAGAAAATACTTTTTCTAAATAATTATTTGAAACCAGTTTCCTAAGTGAAGTAACTAGGCTAGATTGTTTCTAAGAGTCCTTTTAACTCTAAAATCTGTGTGCTTTGACTCTTAGTGGGTAGGAACAGGTTAGATGCTCCCCAAGGCTGACTCAGTATCACCCTGCAGCTCTGTAGACCAGCCCTTTGTCTGGTGGCTCTGGGCTACAGATAAGTAGGTCCTTTTAGAACATCTGTATTGTGGCTGGCCTGGAACCAGAGTCACTCAGATTGACGATTCTACCCAACCTTCAAGGGAAGGAGCCATTGATTAAGATTCCAGGACATACTTGGGCTCCAGGAGTGAAGGAGGAAGGGAAGGGTGATGGTGGGAGGCAGGAGGATTTTTTGTAGCTCTTTCTCATCTGGAGAGGACTTAGGAAGCAAAACTTCTTTCTTTTTCTACCAGTGTTCATGAAAGGTCTTCCCACACACACACAAAAGAAAATACCTCTTCCTGAACCACCTGAGTACCTTAAAAACATTATTATTTAAAGTTTTGTTAATCAGGATGGCCTTTTTTTCCTTTCTTCAAACAGACCTCCTTTAAGAGGTAGTTGTCAGCTACAGGTGGTTCTGAGATTGCTCTCTGGGGATACGTTAATTCCAGATTCTTTTAGTTTTCCTAATTATAAAAGAAAAAAGGTTTATGAATAGAATTTTCTGCATTTTATATTTTTTCCCATTTTTTTACTAAACATTTGTTCCTGTGTTTGATTGCATAGTAAATAGATAACAGTATAGTCATTTTTCATTAGTAAAATAGTCCCAAATTTTGATAATGAAATTAACTATATAAATGTTTTGCAAAGAGGATTGTTGGCACCTGAATTAGTTTGGGAACCACTGTTTCAGACCTTCAGGATCGATATGAAGACTAATCAAAACATATGTTTTTTAAATTTACTAACAACTTGACTGGCTACAGCTTTGATAGATAGGGCTAGAATTTATAAGATTAGATTGAAGAGGGTAGGCTGGGAGAAGACATCATAAAAGAGGTTTGGATACACTAGAGACCAATACAAAGGCATTTGATGCTGGAGAGTCAAGGCGGACTTAAACCAGAAGGGATGCTTGAAGATGGAACTCTGCTATAAAATTTTATCAGAAGCCACTTTCTGCTACTCCATCAATCTGGTCCTTGTTGAGGTCAGCTAGAATGTGAACTTACGAGGAAGAAAAGTTTCAGAGTCTAGAATAGGAAATGAAAGGAATCATTCTCCCTAAATCCTCAAATACAGATTTTCTGCATAAGGACTGTCCCTTTCTCAGGCCTGGGACTGAGGCAGGGTCCCAGTTGATTTTCTGGCAGATCTTTAAACTACCCTGATCTGTTTCCTGCTGGTCATGACTTTGGGACTAGTCAGAAGATACATGTGCCTGGTCATGCACACTGTATGGGGAAACAGTGGGCATTTCTTTGCTATGAGGATTGAAAGCCACTTGAAACTCTTCTTGGCAGTCTCTTCCTGGCCTTGGAATTATAAGCAAGTTATGACTTCTGAACTTAAAACTGGAAGTCTATGAATGTAAGATAGAATTTTTATCCTCATTAGTAGGAAGGTGGTATATATAAGGAAGAGCAAACAAAGCCAACAAAGCTAAAGTAAATGTAGGAGGACAGTTTCCCTATCATTGACCAAGTCCTTTCATAGTCACGAAAAGTTTATGGAACCTTGAACTGTTTCCCCCCCCGATTTTGCTCTATATTAGTTTTCTGTCATATGTTTAAATGTTTTTTAAGTATTTGTTTTATCACAGAGTATCTTGTATTTTAAATGGGAATATTTTTATTTACATTAATTTTGAAGGCTGTACTTGAATCTCAGAAGAGCTGAAAGCTCTCTTGTACATCTGTTCAGCCTCCCTTGGTCGTGGGAGAGATGGGGTCTTATGGACCCTGATGAGAGAAACTCTTAAGTGGAGTCATATGATGTAGGGTCATTTGATGCAGTACATTAAATACTACTCAGGCCTGATACAGCTGCATGGTAGGAGTGTATGTTTTTCCTGAGGTTGTATTTGTTTTATTTTTAAAAAATTAAAATGAGAGAGGTCTATCATTTTGCAACAAAGGAAACAGAAGCAGAGTAACATTTATAACCTTTAATGACTTATTTTTTAGTTTTTGCTTGCCTGGGATTTTTGTCCCCTGCCAATCGAGGAGCACTGATGACATGTGCTGTCGTCTTATGGGTGCTGCTGGGCACACCTGCAGGCTACGTTGCTGCCAGATTCTATAAGTGTAAGTAAAAACCGTTGTGATTAAGTGTCAGATGAGTGAGGCTCTGAAGCATATATTGCACATGTCTCTCCTAGGGGGAAGAAGCTTGGTTGGTGGCTTTGTTACGTGAATGATTATCTGTAGATTTATCTGTTTAAAATGCTTAGATCATGAAATAAGTAATTAGATGCTGCTTATCTACCATCCTCTCCCAAACTGTTTGCCTGGGCTGACTTGGAACCACGATCCTCCTGATCTCTCTGCCTCCTGAGTAGCTAGTATTACAGGCATGAGCCACCAGCGCACTGCTCCCTCATTTTATTTTAAGCTTTGTTATGTTCATAGAAGCATGTAGAGACTAACAAAGGAAGAACTTACACAAACAAGTTTCTTAACTGAATTAAGAAACATATCTAGGTTTACTTGTTCTTCCATAAGAGGTCATACTTAACCTATCAATTTAATATTTATAAAATTGTATTTAAAGTAAACTAAGGTCTCACTATTTCGAGTTCCCTGAAATAAGTTACTTTTGTAATAACATTAGTTACAATCTCTTATATACTTGCTTTCTGGAAGAAAAAATTCAGTGAACAGGTCAGGCCACAGAGTAGGGCTGAGATGGGATCAGATAGCTTAAAAAACAGCATGGCAGGATCAGAGCATGTCACCTTTGTGCCTAACTACTCTTAACACCTGTCTGTCCTTCAGATCTCCCTGCTGCAGATTAGGTAGCATGTTAATTAGACAGGAAATTACTGAGAGGTGCTGTTGGTGGCCCTATATAGAAAAGTACTGTTGTATGCACATATGAATAATAAAACAATAAAAAAAGAAAAGGAAAAGTACTTTTTCGTAGAATATCTTTTAGTGGGGGGCTAGGGCATGTCTTGCTGCATTTTCCAGTCTGGTTCTGAATTCCTGGGCTCAAGCAATCCTGCCTCAGCCTCCCAAGTAGCTAGGACTACAGGTATGTTTCACCACACCCAACTTATGAAAGTATTTTTCATATTTTATAAATATTATTTGAATTTAGGAGTTGTATTAAACACAATTTCATGACAGTCTGTCAGTAATGCTGAATTCATATTTATGATTTTATGTGTGTATAAAGTTTTATCATGTTCTTTTAGAGCAAGTGGTTCTTAAACTTTATTAATTTTTTTTTTGTGGTACTGGGGCTTGAACTCAGGGCATTCACCTTGAGCTACTCCACCAGCCCTATTTTTGTGAAGAGTTTTTCGAGATAGGGTCTCTCGAACTATTTGTCTGGGCTGGCTTCTAACCACATCCTCCTGATCTCTGCCTCCTGAATAGCTAAGATTATAGGTGTGAGCCACTGGCACCCATCTTGGTACTTAAACTTTATTATAAATAATGCTAAAATTTTTTAAAAAACAAAGCTGTTCTCAGCTGGGCTTGGTGGCCAACACCTATAATCCTAGTTACTCAGGAGGCAGAGATCAGGAGGATCTCCATTTGAGGCCAGCCCCAGGCATATAGTTCTCTCTCAAAAATACCAACACAAAACAGCACTGGCAGAGTGACTCAAATGGTAAGAGCCCCTGCCTAACAAGTGTGAGGCCCTGAGCTCAAACCCCAGTACCGCAAAAAGCAGAGCTGTTTCATCTCAGCGCGTTTCATTTCTGACTTAAAATGGGGAAAAGAAAAGTACTTCCATTGTATGCTGGTCTACATATATCATTATTTGGTATTTTTAAGTGGGGAGAAAACTAGAGGGGACAAAGGCAAATAAAAGGTTTACACTGGTTTTTGGTTTTTTTTTCCTTTCATTCTTTTTTTTGGTACTTGTTAGGCAGACATTCTACCACTTGAGCTGCTCCAGCAGCCCTAACAGTGAAAGTTCTATAAGCAAATTTGTTCTGTCAAAAAACCACATGCAACCCTTTTTCTTTTCTTAATCTCCTGATCTGACATACTCATCTTCCCAGTGGGTTCTACTTGAAACCATAGTGCTAGAAGGGTCCTGAAGAATCAGACTGAGTATGGAAATTTAATTGTGTTGCATGCACACTTAAGGATTCTTGGTTTTAGAAAAATTCTAAAACTGACTCCAAGATAAACAAGAGTCCCTTTATATTCCTGGTCCCATTGATTGACAGTAGACTAGGATTTAGAAGATTGTTCTGAGGTAAGAATAAATAAGAACTGGTCTGGATGACTTATCCTTTGATACTGAGTTTGTTTTATGCTGAGGCAAAATTCTCTAAAGCAACACACAGTCAGGGTTGTCCTGTGTTGCATGTCTGAGATTTGAACCATTTAATAAGGGACATCATAGCATATTTGCAAGGATCATTTTCTAAGAATGAGCAGCCAGTACTCCTGACAGTCTGGCAAATACCAGACCTGGACTATGAGTTTTGGTTTGCATTAAAGAAGAGTCTATAATTATACTTTTTTTTCTTTTCTTCTGTAGCCTTTGGAGGTGAGAAGTGGAAAACAAATGTTTTATTGACATCCTTTCTTTGCCCTGGGTAAGTGAATTTTTCAATAGTTTTTTTGTTTCTTTGGTTTTGTTTCATTTTGGGTTTTTTGTGGTACTTTGGTTTGAACTCAAGGCCTTGTGTTTGTTAGGCAAACACTCTACCACTTGAGCTGTACCTCCAGCCCAAATTTTCCAATAATTTCTAACAGTCATATTTTAGTTCCCATCCTTTCAGTTCCTTAAGTCTTCATTTTTCTCTCTAAATCATGTACCTAAGAAAATGAATTTAAGTTTTGAAAAGGGGAAGAAGGGGAGATGCCAAACATCTCTACTTACCTGGGAAAACTACCTTTAGATAAGAGTTTTCTGTTGTTTTTTGCTTTTTTAGTACAGGGGTTGGAACTCAAAGCCTACACCTTGAGCCACTCCACCAGCCCTTTTTTGTGATGGGTTGTTTTGAAATAGGGTCTTGTGAACTATTTGTCCTGGCTGGCTTCAAACCACAGTCCTCTTGATCTCTCTCTGCCTTCTGAGTAGCTACAATTACAGGCATGAGCCACTGGCATCAGGCAGTAAGAAATGTTTTTGTTCCTTTACTTAGAAATCTTTCTAATGTGTGAAAGGAGAGAAGGCTAGCATTCACCCTAAGTAGAAATCTTGCTATTTCTTAGCCTGAGGTGGTCAGTCTGACATGTTGCTATATAAAGTTTATATATAATTTAAAACACTTCACCTAATCACGGGAACAGGGCCTCCCTGAAGATGTTCAAGCAAAAATATGTTTTTGGATTTTTATCAAAAGTAATTGTCACTTCTTAGCAACAGTTCCATTAAGTAGAGTGACATGTATCAAAGGTAATCACCACAAAACAAAACAAAAGTCTGACTTTCTGGAAAAACACCTCTAATGTCATGAATCTAATATGCTCCCCAACTCCCCAAATTTCTGTTGTGCAAGAACTGGCTGCTGTACAAGCAATAGCAATAAAGAATGTAAAAGTTGAGATCTTAAAACCAGCACCATTCCACTTGTGGACCAGAAACAGAACCGTGATGACAGCTGGCATTTTTATATACATTTGGGATAAATAACTTCTTCAATTAGCGCTTCCATTGAAGATCCAAGTGCTTCTCAGCCATTCATGTTCTAGTCAGATTCATAAACTTTTCTCAAGCCATATTCTTTGTCATTGTTCCCTCTGCTGTCAACTCAACAAGTGTCCCAGCTTGCCAAGATTCTTTTCTGTGATTTCCTTCAGCATCTGTGCCTTGCAAGCATCCGCCCAGCCCCTAACATCTCCTATTGCTCCCTTTCCATGTGTTCTATTCATGTGGTTCTTCTCATTCCTACAAATATGTTTAGGCCCCTTACCTCCTAAAAAGAGTTTCCTAAAAGCATCTTTCCTGCTACTGAATTTTTCTTTACCATTCCCAACACAGTGCCTTGAAAACACAGTCTATATTTCCCATTCTCATTTGCTCTGGTATTCTTCCCCATTACTTTATTGAAATTTCTCAGGCTTACCAGTAATGTTCTTATTTTCAAATCTGGAAAACATTGTCTTCATCCCCTGTCTAACATTGACATACCTTCTTAAAACTTCTTCATAGATTATACCCTATTCTGGTTCTTTGTGTCTTTGATCAACTGTTCTCTGATTTATATTCTTTAATCTTACCCTTAGAAATAGATGTTCACAAGCAAGGTGGTAAGGTAAATAGAGCGTACACATGCTTGAGAGCTCAGGCTACAGAATCCAGCTGTTTCAGGAGCAAATTCCATTAAGTCACTTTTATAGCTTCAGTTACTTAAGTTCTACTCATAGCAAGGCAGGAAACAAATAGGTGAAATACATTCCAGAAAAATAAGAGATCAGGCTGGAGGCATGGCTCAAGTGGTTGAGTGTTTGCCTAGCAAGCAGAAGTCCCTGAATTCAAACCCCAGTACCAGGAGGAAAAAAAAGACAAAAATCATGTTATTATTCATAGGTGTTGATATTTGTATACAAGAGCAGTTTTATTCTTTAACTTATAACTTACAGAATTAATAAAAAAAAAGAATTTAGCAAAATGAATAGATATTAGTAATATTCCAAAATCCTGAATAGCACCAGTAACCAGTTAAAGACTTTTACTGGTAATGGGTGCTGTGTAGAAGACTATTCACGGTAGTATTAGCAACAGAAAACTTATGTAGTACTTTAGATAACCTCTGAAAATTTGTGCATTCCACACAAAATAACTGTTGCTTTATGAAAAGATCTGATATTGTCAAAGAATTTGGAGATGTTTCTCCTACCTACCAGGACTAGGGACCTTATCTGCATGGAATAATACTAGACATGGCATCACAAGGCAGAGGAACAGTTGAATCACTGGTACTAGGACAGCTCATTATATGAAGGCCGAAAAATCCTGTTCTTATATCATGCATGCAGAGTTTTAACTCTGGGTAGGTTAACACCAAAATGGAATAGGCAGAATAATCGAGTGAAAATACAGAAGTGTATCTTCATGACCCCATGTTAGGGGTACTTTCTTCTCTTAAATAGGATACTCAGAGCATAAAATGATGCCTTTAAAAACTATAGGCTGAGGAGTGGGGCAAGGTAATTCAGGGTCTAGTAGAGCACATGTTTAGCATATGTAAGACCCTCTGTTCCATCCCCCAGTACCACAGAAACAAAAACAAAACTAAGATGTATAAAAGTGATTATTGTATGATTCCAGACATGTTTTCTTAAAATGTACTCAGAAGAAAGTCTGGAAGGAAATTTAACTGCACACATTCAGATGTTTAGGTTTAGAAAAAGCACAGACTGGGCGAGCAAAATTTTTAATGAGGAATTAAGTGGCTGGAGTATTTAGATAATTCACATACATGACTTTGCAAAAGATATGCAACCCGAATAAAAAATGAGTAGTGAGTGTAATCAGCAAGTCACAGAAGCTAAAATCTAGAAAGCCAACAAACACCAGATGCTCGCTGCAGTTGTCCACAGGAAATGCAAGGTAAAACAACAGCTCTCAAGTGATGAAAACATGTAAAGAAGTAACTTTCACAAGCTGCTTACTGGAGTTTAAACCAAGTAAAACCAACCAGAAGATCAATTTTGCAGTTCTAGTCAGGTTTTAAGTTCATATACCCTATGACTTGTCAATTCTACCTTTGTTTATATGCTAAAAATTTTAAAGTTGTATTATTAATTATATATTATGTAATGGTATATAATTCTGCTTCTAACTCTACTTTTACCCAGAACCTGTTGTGTCTTTCAGGATCGTGTTCGCAGACTTCTTCATAATGAATCTGATCCTCTGGGGAGAAGGGTCTTCAGCAGCCATTCCTTTTGGCACACTTGTTGCCATATTGGCCCTTTGGTTTTGCATATCTGTGCCTTTGACGTTTATTGGTGCATACTTTGGTTTTAAGAAGAATGTAAGTTGACCAGTGTTAACATATTCAAGCAAATTTCAGCTGTGGAAATTAGCATGTGCAAATTCTTAAAATACTAGTTTAGGAATGGGATAGCTAGGTTACAGATGTAAACTTAGATTTCAGAGTTCAAGTAAATAGAAACTAATATAGATTGAGAAAGGAATGCCAATAAAATTCATGCAAACTTTGAGATTTTGACATTAAATACGTTACTTCTTTTTAATAAAAAAATGTGCATTTAATCTCTCAGACATAAGCGTTGCTAGTGCACAGTACTTAACAAAGCAAAGAATATATTTTAGAAAGTTAAGCTATAAGAAGAACAAAAAGTAAGAGTAGCACTCTTGGTACATGACTTTGAAATAAATTTTATATGCTAATTCTTGACATTAAGTCTCAGTCATTCCTCCCTTTTACTCTTTCCCTTTCCTCTCTCTTCTCCCTCAATCTGTCCTTTTCACTTCTGCTGCCTCCTTCTACCATCAGCATAGGAGGAAAAAAATAATTTGTTCTGTCTCATCAATACTGCTCTCTTACTCCCTGCTTTACCATCCCTATTCTTCTTCCAAAATATCAAGCACATAGGTTATAAGAAATAACAGGATAAGGAGCGTGGAGTGTAACTCAGTGGTAGAATGCTTGCCTAACAGATCCATGAGGTCCTGGGTTCCATCCCCAGCACCAAAAGAAGAAAAAGAAGTAACATGATAGTATACACATGAGGGAGACCTGGCATGACCTGGCTGAGACTATCATGACTTCATGATCTCCACTGCGTTTGGCATGCCAAGCTACTAAAGGATGCAAGATTCTTTGGAATTTTTTTAAATTTATGGTTTAAAATCTGTATATTATAACCAGTAAGCTGGCAGATTGAATCTTTTAATTTTATAGATTAAATAAACAATTCTAAAACTATGCTGGTTAAAAGTTAAAAATTAGGGTTGGTGAGTCACTCAAGTGGTAGACTCTGAGTTCAAACCCCAATATTGCCCCCCCTCAAAAAAAATTAAAAATTGCACATATTAAAGAATGATATAATTCTTTACCTACATACATGAGCATATAGCATATAAAAATAATGTGCTCTATGAAAGTATAATCTTGATGACAGTAACAAGGTGTTTGGGGAGTGGGGTGTTGTGTTTTTACTTGCAGTGCTGGCTATCGAATCCAGGATCTTAAGCATACTCTGCAGTTGTTCTACCACTGACTATATTCCCAGCCCTTTTCTATCTTATTTTGAGATAGGATCTCACTAAGTTGCCCAGGCTGGCCTCAAACCTGAGATCCTCTTACCTCAGTCTCTGAAGTAGTAGTCAAAATTATGGGCATACACTCCCACACCCAACTCAAAGTATCAAGTTTTAAATTTAATTTTATCTTCACAAAAACTGTGGAAGGCTCTTTTTGAACTTTTTTGTTGTTGTTATTGTTAGAAAATGAAAAATTTCTTCCTTGCTACCTTTTCCCCCTCATGTTATCTATATGTTTAGATATGTTAGGTTCCAGGTATTTGTATACTACCACATATTATATCATGTGGGGACAGCTATTAAGAACATCTACAATGCTTTATGGTCAGAAGTCCTCATATCACCTGTCATTGTCTTCTTTGTGTTCTTGACTCTTAATAAAATTCAGCATTTTAGGGACTGGTGGAGTGGCTCAAGTGGTAGAGCACCTGCCTAGCAAGCATGGGGCCCTAAGTTCAAACCCCAGTACCCCAAAGACAAAATTGAGCATTTTAATAACGATGTCTTTGCCCACCTCCAAATAAAAATATTTTTTTCAGAACTAGCTGATTTCTAACAGTGAAATATAATTAAAATGAAAAACCTAACTGTTTTGATATGAACTATTATCGTCCAAGTACTACATTCTCTTATGTGTATTTCTCATCTTGTCTAAAACTATTCATCAATGGATAGCTGCTGGAAACAGTGTTGGCTCGCTCCAGTAGACAGACCAAGTATTGTACCTGATGGTATTAGACTCATTGCTTCTGAATACAAATTTGAGTTTGATGACATAAGTAGACTTTCATTGCCATTAGTGTCAGTATGGAATCTGCGAATAAGCAAATAAACTTGTATAAAGAAGAATTTTAAAAAGAAGTGTGTAATCATGAATCCTTCCTTTCTTCCTTCACCAAAGGCCATTGAACACCCAGTCCGAACCAATCAGATTCCACGTCAGATTCCCGAACAGTCATTTTACACAAAGCCCTTGCCTGGGATTATCATGGGAGGAATTTTGCCCTTTGGCTGCATCTTTATACAGCTTTTCTTCATTCTGAATAGTATTTGGTAAGCTGAGGACAAAGTCCTCTTATTCTCATTACCAGTTTATGTAATACTTGCTTTTTGTTTATATGGAAAATGTAAGCAGTTCTTTGATGACCAAAAATCCTAAGAGCCAAAAAGTATGTTATCTGTGCTGTGGGAAGAAGAATAATGAATAATAGTGATAGTAGCTATTATTAATTGAAGGTTTATTACTTCTCACTCTTACTTAACTCTTATTTTCAGAATTCTATGAGATAGACATTGTCTCCATTTTACAAAGATGAAAGTAGGTTTAGGAGGTTGAATAATTATTTCACACAGTTGCACGTGACAGAAAATTGACCTAAGTCTCTCCAAACCCATGTTCTCAAGTAATCTGTATTGCTCCAGGGAGAAGGTCCTCTGGGTGCTTGTTGGAGGCAACTGAGCAGGGGTTGATCTAGGTGACCTTCAGATCCTGTCCAGTCCCCAGGTGCCTTTGTTCTCTTGATTTCTTATTCCCATGGAAAATTTGTAGTGGTAATTTTGAGCCACTCTATTATAATATATGTGCATATGTGTTATGGTACCGAGGGTTGGAGTAGCATAAAATTAGAACTAAACTTGAGCTTTTTGATGAGTAGACTAAGCATATTTGATGTGGTAGTTTCAGGTTCTTCCTGAGCAGAAGGTAAAATCCAGTGATGCTTCACCTCCCTCCTTCATCATCTAAACCTATGAAAATTTGTCTTGTGTGGTTAATTGGGAGAAAAAAACCTTTTCAGTTCAAGAAAAATGAATAGATTGCATCATTTATTGTGTCAATGAAAATATTTATAGCTTGACATGTTTGATTATAGGTCACACCAGATGTATTACATGTTTGGCTTCCTGTTTCTGGTATTTATCATTTTGGTTATTACATGTTCTGAAGCAACTATTCTCCTTTGCTATTTCCACCTGTGTGCAGAGGTATGTATCAGCAGTGTTCACTTACGTTAATTCATAGACAATACTTATAACATTGGCCTGTTGCACCTTGAATACTGTGAATTAAGATGATGTATGTATACATGTTTATTATAAAAGAAATTGACCTATATTTCCAAATCAAAAATACCCTCTTTAGGATTGAATTAAGATCATATCGCAGCTCAGTATTCTTACTTAGAGCTTACCATTAGAGATTTTAGAATGTTAACTTCCTGAGACTAGCATTTTGTGTTAAATTTTCACTGTTGAGTTGTGTAAATGTCTAAGTTAAGAAATTATATTCTTAGTTTAACTTAGTGTTGGATGCCTGTAAGCTCAGCACTCAGGAGGCTGAGGTTCGAGGATTGTGACTTCAAGGCTAGCCTGGGCAACAGAGCAGTTTCAAGGCCAGCCTGAGATGTCATGGGAAGACCCTGCCTCAAAACAGAAATAATTTTTTTGTTTTATATTTTTATTATAATGTAGATGTTTATGGGCTGTGAAAACTTAAGTAAAAATGAACGTTTCAGTGATTAGTGTGATGTGTTATATTCATGGCAACATCAAAGTAATGGCATCATTAGATAATAGTAGAATTGAGTTGTAAAGATGTAGATCACTAGATCCATTCTTTTATAACTTTCTACATGAGATAAAGTCTGTTAAGCTGAGTATGTTGTCTTATTTCTTTAACATCTTATTAGCATATATCAGTTGTACATAGGGATCTAGTTGTGATATTTTCGTGCATGCATATAATGTACATTGGCCATATTCAAACCTCATCACTCTCTTCTTTTGCCTCTCCACTCTGCTGGCTCTCCCCCAGACAGTCCCCCTTTTGTTTTGCTTTTTAATTGAGGTTAAATTCATACAACATGGACTGGAGGTGTGGCTAAAGGGGTAGAGCACTTGCTTTGTAGGTATGAAGCCCTGAGTTCAAATCCCAGTAAGCCAAAAAAAAAAAAAAGATCACACAACATAAAATTGACCATTTTAAAATAAACAAGTCACTGAAACTTACTTACATTATGGTACAACCATCACTTCATTCTCATGACAAATGCTTTCACATGCACACACAGAACCCTATCCTGCCCAGTACTTAAAGCAGTTATTCCCCATTTCCCTCTTCCCCAGATCTTAAAACCACAGGTCTGCTTTGTAATCTCTAAAGATTCTGTCCGGATGATCCTTTTTTGTTTTGTGCGTTTTATTTTTGTTTTTGGCGGTGCTGGGGTTTAAACTCAGGGCCTCATGTTTGTAAGGCAAGCACTCTTCACCAGCCCCTCTGGATGCTTCTTTTTTTTTTTTTT